AAAGAATACAAAAAATTAGCTGGGCGTGGTGGTACGCACCTGTAATCCCAGGTACTTGGGAGGCTGAGGCAGGAGAATCGCTTGAACCCAAGAGGCAGAGGTTGCAGTGAGCTGAGACTGCACCATTGCACTCCAGCCTGGGTAACAGAGTGAGACTTTGTCTCAAAAAAAAAACATGATAATGATAATAATAATAATAATGTGCTAGAAGGAGCTGTGATGTGGAAAATTCAGAGTAAGGCAAGAGTAGATTGGGGTGAGTTGGCCTGGGAAGGCCTCATGTAAAGGGAATATTCTGGCAAACACTTGATGACGGTGAGGGAAGAGCTATGCACCTGTCAGGGAAGGTGCATTCCGGGCAGACGGGTCAGCCAGTGCAAAGGCCCTGTGGCAGAATTGTGCTTATGAAGCAGCAAGGAGTTGAGAATGGCTGGAGTGGAGAATGCTGGGGAGAAGTAGTATTAGGAGAGGTCAGACATGAAATGAGGTAGCAATGGAGATTTTTTTACATCAGTAAAATGCACCCATTTTAAATGATGGGTTTTGACCAGTGTATAAATCCATATAACCATTGCCTTGATCAAGATATAGAACATTTTCATCACCCCTAAAAGTTCCCTTGTCTCCCTGTAATCCATTCCCCCATCTCCCATCCCAGGCCCCAGGTAACTTTGGTGCTAGAAATTCCTGTTGCTCCTTGCGAAGAATTTCATTTAAATGGAATCATGTAATACATGCCCTTCTGGACCTGGCTTATTTTGCTCGGTAGAAAGTCTCTGAGATTCATCCATGTGGTTCCAGTTATTTGGAAGGCCAAGGTAGATTTGCTTGAGCCTGGAAGGTCAAGGCTGCAGTGAACCATGATTATGCCGCTGAACTCGAGCCTGGCTGACAGAGTGAGATCCTGTCTCAAAATAATAATAATAATAATAATGGCCAGATATGGTGGCTCACACCTGTAATCCTAGCACTTTGGGAGCCTGAGGCATGTGGATCACTTAAAGCCAGGAGTTCAAGACCAGCCTGAAATCCTTTTCAAACCTTTTGTTTGAATGGCATGATCTCAGCTCACTGCAACCTCCACCTCCCAGGTTCAAACTATCCTCCTGCCTCAGCCTCCCGAGTAGCTTCCATGTGGGTTTATGAACGGTTTCTTTGTTTTGCTGTATAGAATTCCATTGTGTGAGATAGCACAGCTGCTTCACCCATGCACCTGCTGAAGGACATTTGGATTGTTTCCAGCTTTTCACTATTATGAATAAAGCTGCTATGAAGGTTTATCTGTGTACAAATGACTTGGGTATATACCTAGAAGAGGTATTTCTGGGCCGCACAGTTAGTGTATGTTTTCCCCAGGGGTTGTACCACTCACTTCCCATCCAACGTGTAAGCAGCCCAGGTGCCTCTCTATCTTCCCCAGGACACGTGGTATTGTCAGTCTTTCTAATGGCGGCCATAATGGTGGGCGTGGGAGCAGCACCTTGTGATGGTAATCTGTGTTTCTCTGATGACTAATGATATTTTTTTTTCCTGTGCTTACAGCTACTTTCATATCTTCTCTTGTGAAGTCTTTTTCAAACCTTTTGTCACACTCTATCGCCCAGGCTGGAATACAGCAGGAAGATTTCAGCTCACTGCAACCTCCGCCTCCCAGGTTCAAGCTATCCTCCTGCCTCAGCCTCCCGATTAGCTGTGACTACAGGTGCTTGCCACCACGCCTGGCTAATTCTTTTATTCTCTGTAGAGATGGGGTTTCACCATGTTGGCCAGGCTGGTCTCGAATTCTTGGCCTCAGGTGATCTGCCTGCCTCGGCCTCCCAGAGTGCTGGGATTCCAGTGACCTGTGCCCTGCTCAGCCTTTTCATTTTCTTACCAGTATCTTGAGCAAACGTTTCTAATTTTGATAAAGTCCAGTTTATCAATTTTGTTCATTTTATTGATTGATTTACAAAAATGGAATCTATAGTATACAGCATGACTTGTTTGTTTGTTTGTAGATGGAGTTTCATTCTTGCCGCCCAGGCTGGAGTGCAGTGGTGCGGTCTTGGCTAACTGCAACCTCTGCCTCCCAGGGTCAAGTAATTCTTCTGTCTCAGCCTCCCGAGTAGCTGGGATTACAGGGGCCTGCCACCACGCCCGGCTAATTTCTGTATTTTTAGTAGAGACGGGGTTTCACCACGTTGGCCAGGCTGGTCTTGAACTCCTGACCTCAGGTGATCCACCTGCCTCAGCCTCTCAAAGTGTGGGATTACAGGTGTGAGCCACTGGGCCTGGCCCATCATGATGTTTCGATACATTGTGGAACGGTTGAATCAAGCAAATTCACTTGTGCATTACTTCACATTCTTAGCATTTTTTTGTGATGAAAACACAAAATTGATTTTTAGAAATCTTCAACTGTACATTGTTATTAATCAGAGTCACCCTGAGGTACATAGATCTCTTAAACTTTTTTTTGTCTCAATTTTTTCCTGTGTGATTTGTGTCTCGTCTAAGAAATATTTGCCTAACCTGAGGTTGTGAAGGTATTCATGTGTTTTTCCCCTAGTAGTTCTATCATTGCGTTGTAACCATTTTTTTTTCTTTTTTCTTTTTGAGACAGGATCTCACTCTGACACTCAGGCTGGAGTGCAGTGGGGTGATCTTGGCTCACTGCAGCCTAACTTCGCAGACTAAAGTGATACAGGCATGCACTACCACACCTGGTTAATTTTTATATTTTTGGTAGAGACAGTGTTTCTTTATGCTGCCCAGACTGGTCTTGAACTCTAAGCTCAAGTGATCCTCCTGCCTCAGCCTCCCGAAGCGCTGAAATTATAGGCTTGAGCCACCGTGCCTGGCCTATCTTTGTAACTTTTGTGTTTAGGTCCACAGAAAGTTTTGAGCAAAGAACTTCCATGATCGGACTTACACAGATGCCCCTGGCATCCCTCTGCTGTGCTGAGCCTGTGGCAGGCCCGAAGGCAGACTTCAGGACACCGGTCAGGAGACCTTTCCACCCGTCCGGGCTTGGACCAGCCTGGGCAGAGTACAGCTGGGAGTAGAGGGCACATCTTGGAAATGTTTATCAGCCAGTTTTCTGGTGTAAGTCCTTCCTCCCTCCTTGCTGAATAATCATCAACTTTATGAAGTTATTTCCTTTCTCTGAAGACTCAAGTGCTTGCGGCTTCACATGAGGCCATGTGTACGTACACAATTGTCTTGAGCCTTGAGCAATGTTTGCTATGTATTTTAACTTTTCACTGTTTTAAAGGAAATAGCTGGTTTTAAGTTTTAATCCACAGACTGTCATTCTTCAGGGATGGCAGCCCCAAACACAACATGACAACTCATCTACTCACCCATGAAAGATTAAAAAATGGATCCCAACGTATTTCATCTTATGCTCTGCGTCACTTCTGCTCGGACTCATAAATCCACGTCTCTTTGCTTTGGCCACTTCAACTCATATCCAATCCTTTCTTTAATTCATGATTTATCGCTGTAAGGTAGCTCTTTTGCCAGATTTATAAACTCACTGTTCTTCATATAATACCTACTTTGTACACTAGGCAACAAGACAGTTAATTTATTGTCTATGACTTGTTACCTTGAAAAATGACATCAATGCAAAGTGATTGCCTTTTAGCCTCTGTAGCCAATAAACTCATCTTATTTTTTTTTGGAGAGGATGATGTGAGGTCATAGGATCATATATATAATCAGTGAGCAGAATGAGAAGGAGCGAGTTGAAAGCTCTCTACAACAGAAGCCAAGAAGGAAGACGTCCATCTCGTAGCAATCATGTATAAGCTGGCCTCCTGCTGTTTGCTTTTCATAGGATTCTTAAATCCTCTCTTATCTCTTCCTCTCCTTGACTCCGGGGAAGTATCCCTTCAACTCTCAGGTAAGAATTTTTTTTTTTCCCTTATATTAGTCTTGAAAGAGCCTTTACCAGTCTTAAATTCAATGTTAGAGATAAGAATGGGATTCCTGTTCAAAGGAGTCTTGAGTCTTGTTCTATCAATAGTCCCAGCTTTGAAAAGAATATTAAAGGATCCTTACAGCACATTTTAGATGTAGTAATGGATACAGTTGTTTTTTTTTTCTCTCTCTACAATGTAAAAGGAGAAGAGGAGAATTGCTTGTTTCATGTTACCTCTGTAGTTGAAACTCTTGTTTTGGGCGATATATATATTTTTCCAATTTTAAAAATTGCACCAAATTTAAAACATCATTACTTTTAGTTTTTACTTTAAACAAATTGGTTGAATGTAGCACTGGTTGTTCTAATTGCAGATTAATAATGGATTTGTTTCACCTTATGTTTAAAAAATCTGATATGTGTTCTATGAAACAAAAATGTTTACTAAAATTTTTTTAAATGACAAACTGGGGAGCTAGGGAGTTCACAGCCTTCCGAGTACATTGATCATTTCCTTTTGATTTATGTTAATTCAGTTTAAGTCTAAGTTGAGTTAAAGAAATACATATCAGTCAGGTAGGTTCTCATTTTGCCATTATCTTTCCATTTAGTTTAAGAAATGAGAAGGCTAATGCTTGGGGATTAGGTTCCATCAAAAACTTAACTAGATTTAATCTTATCTTTAATCTTGAATACTTCCAGGCTTTTTTTAAATAAAGAAAAAAAAATCCTCTTCTAAGCCAAGGATTTTACAGTTTCTAGTCTCTAAAAGTTCATCCCAAGCAGCTTTCTGATGATCGTCAAGCACTGTCATCAGGCGCTGTCAACCAACTTCCCGAGTCACTGAGATGATCACTGACTGTTCTCTTAACAGTTAAACACAGGCATTAACTTTACTGAATCTCTCTTTACAAAGAAACAGCACACATCTCAAGATGAAATAAAAAAAGGAAATACTCAGTTACTACTGTCATCTTAAAAACTGTACAAATAATTTAAGAAACTTAGCTGAAATGAGTGTAGCATCTCACACAAATTCGAAACAAGTGGCAGCTTATCTCAGAATTTGTTCTCATTGATTTCTCCAGAAATGAGCTTTCCTGTCAGCATTTATAGATGATCAAATTTTATAGATTTTTATTAACAGTCTTCAGAAGTGTTGTGAATGTGCTCAGATGCCTTTATGATCTGCTCACTGCCCTCCAATCAAGGTTGCAGCTATTTGTAAGCCTGCGGCATGCCGGTGCCACACATGGCCTCCCTCCCACCCTGACTCCCACAGCCTCGAATCGCAACACAGCAGCAGGTCTGCATTTACCACGCCTCACACGCACTTCGTTCAGCACACTCCGGAGCGCCCTTTCACACACCTTAAGCACACTTACCATGCATTCCATATGCCATCTGGTCGACCACATTTCACATAGGAAACGCCACAATCATGTTCCTTACCGACGATTTTGAAGCCGATTCTAAGTATAATAATTGTATTGAAATCCTGAAGTTCAGTAAGAGAAGAGGTGATACCATCCTACTGGCTTTACAGGAAGGTCGTAAACAATCTTCTTTTTCCTCTCCAATTTCACCACCCAAATATCTAAAAGCAAAAAGGCAGTAGGCAGCAGTAGTTAAGCAGAAATGAGGGAAAGTCAGACGTTTTGAACCAAAATGGTTTTGAGAGAGGCTGTGGCTCAGCCCTCAGCTCTTACTCAAGGCAATCGAGGGGCTTGGCGCATCACGTGGGCGTCAGATCCACGTCTCCCGGCTTCCCGTTCTGCCGGCTGGCACATGGGCCGGTAGCATTTCCGCCTCTTTTAGAACACCACTGATGACACGTCGTGAACTTAGCGTTGGACGTTTTTCTAGTGTTCATCTCCCTGTCTCTGGTACTCTCCAAAGACACGAGGAACAGACATAACCAACTGGATGAACTGAATTGTTAAGTCTCTGTTTTTACTCTGTAGCACCTCATGAAGATGCGCCGTTAACTTCGGAGGAGCTAGAAAGAGCTTCTCTTCTGCAGATACTGCCAGAGATGCTGCTGGGTGCAGAAAGAGGGGATAGTCTCAGGAAAGCAGGTAAATGCTTCTCATGTTTATAGCATGTCTGATTTAATTGCTACTGAACTTACCGTCTGTCCTCATCTAGAAGAGGTAGAGCCCTATTTTGGAATATAAAGATGAACTATATAAAATAAGTGATTACCGATACTCTCCCCTCCCGGCCTGTGCAACCTTCTTTTCCCCAGCAGCTCCTTGCATGCACCGTGCTCTTTGGTACCTCAGCATTTTGTCTTTCTGTGTGGACTTTTAGTTTTGGGGGGTAGGGGTTGATGGTAATTATTCCAGTTTCCAGTGAGTGCCATTTAAAATCCTAGTTTCCCACTTACTGAAACCTTAATCTTTCTGTACTCCAGTTTCTTAATCTATAATCAGGAATGATTAAGTTTCCACCTCAGAAGGTAACTTGTGAAGAGTCAGTGAGTCAAGGCAAGTAAAATGCTCCTTGAGTCACACAGAAAGTCATTAATCAAATGTCAGCTTATTCCCCTATGGCCACATTCCTCCAAGCATGGACACAAATGCTTAAGAAGTTCTGGAAACAAAATTGAGCCTTTTGCTGGGCGCAGTGGCTCACGCCTGTAATCCCAGCACTTTGGGAGGCCAAGGTGGGAGGATCACTTGAAATCAGGAGTTTAGGACCAGCCTGGCCAACATGGTGAAACCCCATCTCTACTAAAAATATAAGCATCAGGGCCGGGCGCGGTGGCTCACGCCTGTAATCCCAGCACTTTGGGAGGCCGAGGCGGGTGGATCACAAGGTCAGGAGATCGAGACCATCCTGGTGAACACGGTGAAACCCCGTCTCTACTAAAAATACAAAATTAGCTGGGCGTGGTGGCGGGCGCTTGTAGTCCCAGCTTCTCGGGAGGCTGAGGCAGGAGAATGGCGTGAACCCGGGAGGCGCCGAAGCTTGCAGTGAGCCGAGATCCCGCCACTGCACTCCAGCGTGGGCGACAGAGTGAGACTCCGTATCAAAAAAAACAAAAACAAAAACAAAAACAAAAAAAACCCAAACATCAGCCAGGCATGGTAGTGGGCGCCTGTAATGCTAGCCACTAGGGAGGCTGAGGTAGGAGAACTGCTTGAACCCAGGAAGCAGAAGGTTGCAGTGAGCCAAGATCTCACCACTGCACTCCAGTCTGGGCGACAGAGCAAGACTCTGTTCAAAAAAAAAAAAAAAAAAAAAAAAATTGAGCCTTTTAGTAGGCATTGTTTAATACTGTCCATTTGTTGTATGTTTGATGAGCCACTGCACTGTTAAGTTACTGAGGACAATGCAATGACTTTTGTGAACTCCGGATAAGAACAGGTGTGCCTGTCTGCATTCAAGAAAAGGTTGCTGCAATGTGGAAAAAGACCAGAAAGTAGACACAATTTAGTAATATTATTTTGTATATTTTAAAACAAGCATACAAGAGAAACAACAGATCTGACGAACTGGCTTCAAAACTGTTTTTCAGACTCGAGTACCAACATTTTTAACCCAAGAGGAAATTTGAGAAAGGTAAGTGACTCTATTTATGACTTAGGTTTAAAAAGGCGAACATTCTGTACTGATTTTACAGGACTCTGAATTCATGAACTAGAGAAGTGTTCTTGGTGGAAACCACACCTTAAAATAACTGGCCAGCATGGCCAGGCGTGGTGGCTCACGCCTGTGATCCCAGCACTTTGGGAGGCTGAGGCGGGCGGACCACCTGAGGTCAGAAGTTCGAGACTAGCCTGGCCAACATGGTGAAACCCCGTCTCTACTAAAAATACAGAAATTAGCTGGGCTTGGTGGCGCCTGTAATCCCAGCTACTTGGGAGGCTGAGGCAGGAGAATCGCTTGAACCTGGGAGGCAGAGGTTGCAGTGAGCCGAGATAGTGCCGTCACAATCCAGCCTGGATGATAAGAGTGAGACTTCACATCAAAATAATAATAATAATAGGCCAGCATTATTTCAAAGCATTAATTTTTCCGAATTGTGATTGATATAAGATCTGAATGCAACAGGAACCTACCCAGTGCCTGTTTTGGGTAAATCAAGTAAGTTGTGAAAGAATGAAAAAAATAGGTGAGGTCCCTGCTCTCAAGTCTGGCATCCACTTGTGCTCTCATTCGCTATCTAACATGCGGCCCACTGCCAGCAGCACTGGGAGCGCCTGGAAGCGAGTGAGGGATGCAGAATTTTAGGCCCACCTAGGACCTGTGGAAGCAAAATCTGCATCTTAACAAGATCCCCAGGTGATTCACAGGCATGGGAAAGTGTGACGGGCACTGCAAGGTAACACCTAGTGGAAGAAGGCCATGCTCCAGACACTGACATGAACCATGTGCAGGAGGCCGGGCGTGGTGGCTCACGAGTCTGTCATCCCAGCACTGTGGGAGACCGAGGTAGGCGGATCGCTTGAGACCAGGAGTTCAAGACCAGCCTGGGCAACATAGCGAAACCCCGTCTCTACAAAAAATACAAAACTTAGCCGGGCGTGGTGGCGTGCACCTGTAAATCCCAGCTACTCGGGAGGCTGGTGCAGGAGGATCACTTGAACCCGGGAGGTGGAGGTTGCAGTGAAAGACTGAGCCACTTCACTCCAGCCCAGGGAACAGAGCGAGACTCCGTCTCAAAAAAAAAAAAAAAAAAAAAAAAGAAATACAACACAACACAACACAATATAATACACACAATACATACAATACACAGAAGACAATAAATGCATAGAATGTTACTTTTTATTTATGTTTTGAGAGAGGGTCTCACTCTGTTACCCAGGCTGGAGTGCAGTGGCGTGATCTCGGCTCACTGCAACATCCACCTCCCAGGTTCAAGCACTTCTAATGCCTCAGCCTCCCAAGAGTAGCTGGGACTACACGAGCCTGCTACCATACTCAGCTAATTTTTGTAGAGATGGGGTTTCACCATGTTGCCCAGGCTGGTCTCAAACTCCTGGGCTCAAGTGATCTGCCCGCCTCAGCCTCCTCAAGTGCTAGGATTACAGGCGTGAGCCACCCGCCTAGCAACTGACATGATTTAAACAGAAGTCAGTCAATGAGGGTTTAGGAAAATTCAGGACAATCACTGAGCTGAACAGACTGGAAGGACACTCATTAGAGGTGGGGAGGTGGCCACAGGAGCCCCACTGGGCCTGCGACACTCTTGTTACAATTACAATCCAGGGAAAAACACAAATACTTTTAAGAAGTCCAATGTCTTGACTCAAGATTCCTTTTTCTTATAGGACTCTTCATTCATTGGTAACTTACCTGTTTTTTTTGTTTGGATTGTTTCAGTTTCAGGATTTCTCTGGACAAGATCCTGACATTTTACTGAGTCATCTTTTGGCCAGAATCAGGAAACCATATAAGAAACGTGAGACTCCTGATTGCTTCTGGAAATACTGTGTCTGAAGTGAAATGAGCATCTATTAGTCAGCTCAGAAACACCCATCTTAAAACACAAAAAATAATACAATGCTTGATTTGAAAACAGTGTGGAGAAAAACTAGGCAAACTACACCCTGTTCATTATTACCTGGAAAATAAATCCTCTATGTTTTGCACATATGAGTGGTTATTTTCCCTATAAACGTGTCCTGAAAATTTATAATTATTCTTTTCTTCCATTTGCCCTTAGAGAATTCTTTGAAAATTCAGAAGCAAAGCTAATGAATGAACAGAAGCAAACATTAAGAAAAAGTCACGAAAGTTAAACTTGTTTAATGACAAATCATTTAAATAAACTATATTATCTTAGCTATGATGGCCTCTCGACCCTTAAAAAAGACAACATATTACTTAAAAAATAAATCATGGCCAGGCACAGTAGCTCACGCCTGTAATCCTAGCCCTCTGGGAAGCTGAAGTGGGTGGATCACTTGAGACCAGGAGTTTGAGATCATCCTGGGCAACATGACGAAACCCTGTCTCTACCAAAGGTACAAAAATTAGCTGGGCATGGTGGCGGGCGCCTGTAGTCCCAACTCAGGAGGCTGAGGCATGAGAATCGCTTGAACCTTTGGGGCGGAGCTTGCAGTGAGCGGAGATCGCACCACTGCACTCCAGCCTGGGCAACAGAGGAAGACTGTCTAGAACATAAAAAATACAATAAACAAAATAAAATAAATAAAAATAAAACAAAACAAAATAAAAAGAAACCAGTATCTTAGCGTGGAAAAATCTCAAAGTTGCGGGTGTCTGAGATGAAGGGCGGAAGCGTCTGATGCTCGTTGGTTTCTGAAGTTCGTGGGGGAAGCCCATGCGCTGAGATCCTTTCTCTCGGCTGACCAAAGTCCTAACACTTGACGATTTTAATCTTTTAACATTGAAACCTGTATAATCTCAGTTTCTGTGAGCTCAAGGATCACAGTTTCTCACACGGGGAAAAGCACCTTGATGTCTCTTATAGAGAGAAGAAAGCTGAGGCAAGATTTAAGATTGTGGAAGAAAGAGCCTGGCTTACAAATTTTTAAAAACTGTGTAAGTACCGACTTCTATTCCGTGAATACATCTGTATAAATGTGGTTTATATATGTCTAGAAGATACAGTGTGAACTCCTGAGAGTTCTGTGTGGGTCTCACACAGAACCAGGTTTAGGGGAGGCCTGGACGTTTATGAGAAACTCGTTTCCCTCATTGAGCTCTGACATCCCACCATATTCCAGAGGGGTCTGCATCAACCAAACAGCAACACGCAACTGTGTCAATCTTGTCACTGACCATCACAAGTCTCCTAGAGAGTACCGGTCTCAGAGAGTTTACCCTAAAGACATCAAGAACTTGGCCAGGCGTGGTAGCTCACGCCTGTAATCCCAGCACTTTGGGAGGCCGAGGCAGGCAGATCACAAGGTCAGGAGATTGAGACCATCCTGGCTGACACGGTGAAACCCCGTCTCTACTAAAAATACAAAAAAAATTAGCCGGGTGTGGTGGCACGTGCCCTGTAGTCCCAGCTACTCTGGAGGCTGAGGCAGGAGAATGGCGTGAATCTGGGAGGCGGAGCTTGCAGTAAGCCGAGATCGCACCACTGCCCTCCAACCTGGCGAGAGAGCAAGACTCTAAAAAACAAACAAACAAAAAAAACCACACACACGAATAACAAATCTAAGGGAGAGATGTTTTAAACTGCAATGAATGCACAAGTTCAGAAACATGCTAACATTGGGGATAGCTATGATAATACTGTGGCTTGTCTCTCAGTGTTGAAATTAAATCAGTACTAGTTCCCTGGCACAGAAAGTTGACACCATAAAACTTCTGTATCAGAGAGAACTTAAAAGCGGAATTCCACTGTTGAATTCTGAAATCCCTACTCATATTAGTGATATCAGGTGATGATTCATATAGACTGGGGCTCTGCCATCAGGTTTCTAGGGTCAGATTCCTACTCCCAGTGCACACCAGCTATGAGTCTCTGACCCAGTTCTTGACTCCCCCTGCCTTAGTTTATTTCTCTGTAAAATGAGGACAATAACAATGCTTATTTCACAGGGCAGTTGTGAGGATTAAATAATTCATGCCAAGCACTTAGACCAGCACCTGTCAGAGTAGTATACACGCAAAGCATACTGAGCCATTTTTCTTCCTGCTCGTTATTATGATTTTTGTTACAGAAAAGAAAGGTGCAAATGGTCTGAAAGGTGTAAGCTTTAAAAAGCTCTGTTGGCTTCAGGATTTTGTTCCCTATTTTAATTTCTAGATTTTGCTGCCACCAGTTACACAGTCAGATCTTGTACACAGGTTCACCCTACAAAATCTGAGAAATTTTGATAACCGAATTTTATAAATTTGGCATTAGAGTAAGTATTAAAAATATGTACATTGAAGGGAGGATTAACCCATTTATGCCAGAGGTTGCAAAATTTTTTTTTTTTTAATGAAAAATCAGACCTTGGTGATGACCCTGAGCAGTAGCATATAAATAACTCCCACAAGTTTAGTGTTCCAATAATGGAACACTAGGTGTAAATGGGCTAAATAAGCCAATACATTTCGAAGTGCCTGCACCTTCATCCTCCACACAGTAGGTGCTCAGACCCACTGGCTAAGGCAAACACAGAATGTGGCTGAAAAAAGCAAGGTTAACTAATATGAGGGTCCCTCAATAGATCATAAGAAACAGTTCTAAATGATACAGAAAACACATTCAAAGATCTGTTGACGTAGGGCCGGACAATTTCTCGCGTTTTACATGCACAGAGTTTATTTGTTGTTTTTACTTAAAAAGATACCCAATTGAAATATTAATGATTACAAACAAATTCAGAGTTAATTATAAATTCAGTTGAAACAAAATTTCAGTTTGGATTAAATTTACACTGTGAATTATAATGAAGTTTCACTCAATTGCAAAATGATTTCCATTCACACAGCATCTTGTTTTTCATAAATCGTGACCTCTGACCAAAGAAAACACAGCTTTTTGGGTAACATTCATGTAAACACTGAAGCCTATAATATACATTTTTATTACTATTTTCAATAGTCATTAATATAAAAAGTTAACAAATCTGAACAACAAAGTTTAAGCTGGGGAGAGCCCCCTCGGGGGGCGGCGGTCAAGCTGCTGAGCCCCCTGCTCACCGCCAGCAGCAGGTGCAACCTGTGAGTGCGTGAACGCGTCCACCCACAGGAGGAGCGCTCCTCATGCTCTGACAGTTCTGCCACAAGCACCAGTTTCAAATCAAACCTAGTATAACATGTACTCCATAAAATGTGTACTAAGGCAAAGAAATAAGCACATTTGGATAATACAAATATCCAGAAACAATGGAAAAGAAAGGCTTCTATTAGAGAACATAAGGCTTAGCATATATGAATGCACAATGATCCTGAGAGCTACAGATACCATTTTTATTTACATTAGCAAAAACTGTATTACTACAGAAGGTCACTGACAGACAATCTACTGGCTGGTTAATTGTTTCAAATTTGATTCTTTATCAAGCAAAAATATCACACAACCTGATCAACACACAAAGGCTTCAGAAATCACTTAACTATCAAGGTGGAGCAGACTATCAGAGCTATTTATAAAACAGGAATATTTGCATGGAACTGCTTATTAGAAAATTCCAAGAACTGTCAAAGGCAGCATTTGAAAATAGCTCTGACATCTTAAGATGGAATTACCATCCAGAAAACCACTACTTCGAAAGGAAATCTGAGCTACCGGGATGGTCATCATGGATAAAAAGGTCAATTTTCCTAATCATTATCAGGATGCATTTACAAAAACCTGTAAAACTTCAAAGGAGAAAGAAGTATTTTCCTAAAAAAAACCATAAAAAAACCAAAAACCAAAAACAAAAAAGGAAGAAAAAAATAAGTTAGTTTGTTGCAAGTTATATAAAGACAAAAGGTTACTATAACCTTCACTTTCTTCTATTTGGTTTTTCTGATCTGCAGGGGTGTGAATTTCATGTGTCCTTCCAAGTTTAAGAAGGAAGCAGGGACTTCTCTAAAGAGCACCAGAGAGTGAGCTGATTTACCAAGTAAACAATCACACTCACTTCTTAAAAGACACTGTGAATTCTGTAGAATTCACTGTAGACTTCTGAAATCCCTACTCATATTAGTGGTATCAGGAGGTAATTCTCTACTACAAATGCCATAGAAGGCAGTGACTGATGGGGCCTGCAGGGCCCCGTGGGCGAGGACAACTGGGCTGCCTGGATGTTTTCTCCTTTGCAGTCCCCACGACACTTACTCCTGTTCAAGGGCAAACAAAAGACAGTGCCAATCAGACCTCTGGTAGGGCTAGAGTGACCTCTTTTGTGTAAACTGATTGGAAAGAAAGAGTTAACAGTTAGTTTTGGTAAGAATGAACATTTAAACACAAAAGTATATAAGAATGATACTAGCTTTTACATTACTTGTAAAACTTTTCACAATCATTATTTTAAAAACAAAAACACTGAAAAGGGCAACAGCACTGGTTGAGTAAGAAGCTCTTTCAACATTACACATGCAAATGCTAATGGAAACTCTCACAAGAATTGGCCCATGGTAAGCGGATCGATTTTTAAGATAAGGCTTTCAGAATTTCACTGGAAGGTGGGAAATCAACAGGAAAGGGATCTACAAGGATGAAGGCCAAAACTCAACCCCCAAAACCTGCTTATCCCAGATATGCTAATGGACAATATGTGCTAATGTGTTGTGAGAAAACCGGAATGTTTTATCTTAATTATGGAGGGGAACGCCAGGTTGAATGAAGCCTAAATGAATGTACTGCATTCATGGAAACCATTATGAAAAGTACACAATCTATAGGTGGGATTTCTTCAAGCACTCTAAGGGGAAAACGACTTACGTAACAGAACAAAATAAATTAGGCTAAGGTTTGGGGCTCATTCTAGCTCTACTTCTAATTATAATTTACTCTGGGTGACATCTGAAATAAAGATACACATACCTCTTTAGAGGCCATCCAATCTCTTTAGCAGACAATTCAACTACAAAAAGAGCCTAACTGGCCATTTTAATGTATCAGGAACAAAGAGAAGTAAGATTTTGTATACAATGTCTGCTTCAAAAAGATTATGTGTATTAAAAAATCAAGAAGAAAAAATCTTAACATTCAACGATAACTTCATGGTCATTTAAAAGTCCAGGACTTAAAAAGGTCTGTATGTGTAACGTGTCTTAGAAAGGGTATGAAGGCTCATCCTCACAGTCACTCAGCTGCCCTTCTGCCAGAGCCTGACCGCAGGATGTGGCCGCACCATCAGCTGAATCTTCATTTTCGCAAGTGACACAGGCCTCCAAAAAAGAACAAAAGCAGGCGAGTTACTTGATGTCAATGTCACCTGAAGAGTTTTAAAACAGTAAAAAGCTGGTCACACGTTTCTAACTTCCCAACTTATTCAAGTCTGAAAATACTCATTATAGTTCATTCTTTATTACAACTATTTTTATTTTTTTTTGAGACAGAGTCTTGCTGTGTCGCCCAGGCTGGATGGAGTGCAGTGGTGCGATCTTGGCTCACTGCAACCTCCGCCTCCCAGGTTCAAGCGATTCTCCTGCCTCAGCCTCCCAAGTAGCTGGGACTACAAGTGCCCGCCACTACACCCAGCTAATTTTTGTTTTCTAGTAGAGATGGGGTTTCACTATGTTGGCCAGGCTGGTCTTGAACCCCTGACCTCGTGATCCACCAGCCTTGGCCTCCCAAAGTGCTGGGATTACAGGTAGTAGCCACCGTGCCTGGTCTCATTCTTTATTATTAAAAGGCAAATAACAAACTGTTAAATACAGTCATGTGCCACATGACGTTTCAGTCAACAACAGACTGCATATATGATGGTGGTCTTGTAAGATTATCCTACCACGTTTTTTTATGGTATCTTTTCTATGTTTAGATACATAAGTACCACTGTGTTACAACCGCCTACAGCATTCAGGACAGTAACAGCTCTACAGGTTTGTAGCCTAGGATCAAAAGGCTGTCCCATAGAGCCTAGGAGTGATTGTAGCAAGGTACTCCACCGAGGTTTGTGTGAGTACACTCTAGGATGCTTGCACAAAACATCCCCATTACTAAGTGGCACATGGACTGTGCTTTTGTTTAAATTGCTGTGGGCCTCATTTTTCATATACCTGTCTATGTACAACCAGAACAACACTGAAAAAAACAAAGACACTTACAATAACCAGCTCAGCTCCTGCTTTTTGGTAAGACCCTACCCAGCCATTCTTACATGACAGACACTCATTCTTTTCTTTGAAAATGGAGATGGGGAGATTATTCTGAGAAGATGGCGGAGTAGAAGACTAGGACTCTCTCTCCTCACCTAGACAACTCAACTGACAAAATCAGTCCGAGGCAACTATTTGGAACTTGAGTCTATCTGAAGGCCCGCAACTTTCTGGGAAATGCGTAGAGGGTAAGCTGTGGTTGCCTGTGGTCAATTTCAGCTTGAAGCACAGCAGCAACTACCCATCCCTGACCCTGGGCAAGGCATGTATTCCTGGAGCACCTTGCACACAGCTTGTGGGAGTCAGAGTGGGCAATAAGGACCCTGTCTTCCAACAATCAGAAAATACGAATAAACCCTGGGAAAGGGGAGAATCTGGTTTCCAGAATTACTACATTATTAGATTCAAATGTCTAGTTTTCAACCAAAAAAAAAAATCATTAAGGCATACAAAGAAATGCCAAAGTACAGTCCCAGCTTGTCCAACCCCCTGCTGCTCATGGGCCACATGTGGCCTAGGATGGCTTTGAATGTGGCCCAACACAAATTTGTAAACTTTCTTAAAACATTATGAGTTTTTTTTTTTGGTGATTTCTTATTATTTTTTAGCTCATCAACTACTGTTAGTGTTAGTATACTTTATGTGTGGCCCAAGACAATTCTTCTTCTTACAATGTGGCCCAGGGAAGCCAAAAGATTGGACACCCCTGGTATAGCCCATTCAAAGGGAAAACATAAACCAAAAGGAAAAGTCTCTGAGAAAGATCAGATAAAGGAATTGCGAGACAAAGATTTTAAAACCACTGAAAGATGATCAAAGAACTGGTAGGGCACAGTGGCTCATGTCTGTAATCCCAGCACTTTGGAAGGCTGAGGCAGGTGGATGGCTTGAGCCCAGGAGATCAAGACCAGCCTGGGCAACATAGTGAGGTCCCAGCTCTACAAAAAAAAAATTAGTTAGCCATGGTGGTACACACTTGTAGTCCCAACTACTCGAGAGGATCACTTGAGACCAGGAGGTAGATGCTGCAGTGAGCCATGATCATCATGCCACTGCACTCCAGCCTGGGTGACAAAGTAAGATTGTCTTTAAAAAAAAAAAAAAAGAAAATGAAAAAGAAAAAGAAGAAGCTGGGTGTGGTGGCTTATAGCTATAATCGCAGCACCTCGGGTGGCTGAGGCAGGTGGACTGCTTGAGTTCAAGAGTTCAAGACCAGGTTGGGCAACGTGGCAAAATCCCATCTCTACAAAAATTAAAAAATTAGCTGGGCATGGATGGTGTGTGCTAGCTACTTGGGAGGCTGAGGTGGGAGGATTGCTTGAGCCCAGGAGACCGAGGCTGCAGTGAGCCATGATCATGCCACTGCACTCCAGCCTGGGCAACAGAGTGAGACCTTGTCTTAAAAAAAAAAAAAAAAGAAAAAGAAAAAAGAAAAAGATGATGAAAGAATTAAAGAAAGGCATGGAGAAAAATCAAGAAAACAACGTACAAACAATGTAAATATCAATGAAGAGATAGAAAACCTAAAAAGAAGCCAGAAAGAAATTCCGTAAATAAAAAGTACAAAACTGAGAAACTGTCAAGTCTGATGAACAGAAAGAAAAAAGACTGAAGAAAAGTCAACAGACCTGGAGGACATGTGGGAAACCATCAAGTGGACCAACGTAAGCACTACGGGGGCCCCAGAGGAAGAAAAAGAGAAAGAGGCAGAAAGATTATTCAAGAAAATAATGGCTGAAAACTCCCCAGGTTTGATGAAAAACATGAATGTAAACATCCAAGAGGGTAAATGAACTCCAACTAGGATGTACTCAGAACTTGGAGATCCACACTGTAATTAAATACAGTGAAGTCAAAGACAAAGATAATCTTAAAAGCAGCAAGGGAGGGTGGGCGCGGTGGCTCATGTCTATAATCCCAGCACTTTGGGAGGCCGACACAGGCGGATCACGAGGTCAGGAGATCAAGACCATCCTGGCGAACATGGTGAAACCCCGTCTCTACTGAAAATACAAACAAATTAGCCGGGCGTGGTGGCGGGCGCCTGTAGTCCCAGTTTCTAGGGAGGCTGAGGCAGGAGAATGGCGTTAACCGGGAGGCGGCAGAGCTTGCAGTGAGTGGAGATTGTGCCACTGTACTCCAGCCTGGGAGACAGAGCGAGACTCCGTCTCAAAAAAAAAAAAAAAAAAAAGAAAGGCAAGGGAGAAGCAACTCACACATGCAGGAGATTCTCAGTAAGATTATCAGCAGGTATCGGTATCTCACCAGAAACTGTGGAGTTCAGAGGGCAGTGTCCCAGTGTATTCAAAGTACTTAAAGAAAAAAAACTGTCAACTAAGAAATCCTTTGCCTGGCCAAAAGTAAGGGAGAAGTGAAGACATTCCCAGACGAACAAAAGCCAGGGAGTTTGATACCACTAGACCTACCATCCAAGGAATGCTATCAGAAGTCTTGCAGGGTTGAAATGAAAGCACACTGACAATACCCTGAAGCTGTATGAAGAAATAAACATCTCAGCAAAGGTAAGTATTATGATTGTAACAACGATGTGTAATTCCACTTTTTGTTTTCTACATGATTTAAGAAACTAATACATTCAAAGAAAACTAGTAGTCTATAAAATCCAGTATTATTTTAGCTTTGATTTGTAATCCCATATTTTGCTTTCTATATAATTTAATGGATTAATGCATAAAAATAATTATGTCTTTGGAAACACAATGTATAAAAACCTAATTTTATAACTTCAGTAATTGAAAGAAGATGGAGATGGAGCTCTACAGAAGCAGAGTTTTTGTAGGAGGTTATCAAAGTTAAGCTGGTATAAATTCAAATTGGAGTGATATGTTAGAATGCTAAATGTAATCCTCATGGCTATCACAACGAAAATAGTTACACAATATACACAACAGGAAATGAGCAGGGCATTACATTTCACTTCAAAAAACGAACTAAACACAAAATATGACAGTAATGCAGGAAATGAGGGAAAAAAGTCTTTAAGGCACATAGAAAACAAACAGCAAAATGACACAAGTAAGTCCTTCTTCACCCGTAATTACTTTAAATGTAAATGGGCTAAATTCTCCAAAAAAAAAGACAGAGATTGACTGAACAGGTTTTGAAAAGCACTATTCAGATATATGCTGTCTACTCACTTCAGATGTAGACACAAATAGGTTGAAAGTGAAAGGATGTAAAAAGTTACTACATGAAAATAATAACCAAGAGAGTAGGTGTGTCTATAAGTCAGTCACACCAAGACAAATAATGTATGATTTCACTCATACGAGGTGTGCACAGTAGTCAAATTCATATGGCTCTCGCCTGTAATCCCAGCACTTCGGGAGGCTGAGGCAGGTAGATCACTTGAGGTCAGGAGTTTGAGACCAGCCTGGCCAACATGGTGATCTCTACAAAAATTAGATGGGCGTGGTGGTGTGCACCTGCAATTCCAGCTACTCTGGAGGCTGAGGCAGGAGAATGGCTTGAACCTGGGAGGCAGAGGTTGCAGTGAACCAAGATCACGCCACTGCACTCCAGCCTGGGCAAGAGAGCAAGACTTTGTCTCAAAAAAGAAAAAAGAAAAAAGAGAAAAGAGAAAGAAGACCAGTGGTTGCAAAGGGTTGGGAGAAGGAGGAACAGGGAAATTATTGTTTAATGGGTATAGAGTTTCAGTTTTGCAAAATGAAGAAAGTTCTGGAGATGGATGGTGGTGATGGTTGCATAATGTGAAGATATTTAATATTCTTGAATTATATACTTAAAAACAGTTCAGAAGGTAAATTTCATGTTATGTGTATTATACCACAATTAAAAGTGTTAATTTTTAAAAATGGGGGTAGTAGGATTTCATTGTCTTGCTTACTTCATAAGCCTTAATATTTTTTTAAAACACCTAAGTTTACTCTCTTTTTTTAAAGTATTTTTACACACACACACACAAATTATTTATCTTTTTTGAGACTGGCTGGAATGCAGTGGTGAGATCATAGCTCACTGTAGCTTCAGTTTCCCAGGCTCAAGCAATCTTCCTGCCTCAACCTCCTGAGTAGTTCGGACTATAAGTGCACGCCACCACACCTGGCTAATTTTTTGATTTTTATTAGAGACGCATTTGGCTATGTTGCCTAGCGTGGTCTCCAACTGCTGATCCTCTCACCTCGGCCTCCCGAAGTGCTGGGATTATAGACGTGAGCCACTGGACTAGGACTACTTGCTTTTGTTTTTAACTTGACTCTTCAGCCTCCCACATCTTGATACATGTGGGAATAAAGATCTCATTACTAGTACAACCATCACTACCATTACCACAGCTGCCACCAACACTGGTTGGGACCACTGGTAAATCAAAGCTTTACTGTTCAGGCTATTCACAAAAAATCTCATTGAGAAGACCTCATAACAGCAAAAAGACACTTAGGTCCCATTCAAGTTTCTGCTTGGTATGAATACTACCTCAGGTGTGAATCTTACATCTTTTTTTTTTTTTAAACTCTTTTCAAACATGCAGACGTATCTGAAATACGTAACAAATCACCTATCAAATGCAGTCAGTCACACATCAAAGCAGGTGTTTCTACTCTTTATTGTTCCCTAACATTCCAACTGGTAGAAGAAAAAACCACCTGGAGGCAAAAAGACCTGTGTTCAAAATCCAATGAACTGCATGGCCTTGTATTAATTATTTAACATGTGTATACCCTACTTCTTGCTTATTGGTAAAGAGGGAATAATAACTACCGCAGAGGTAAACTGTGTGGATTAACGTTTTCAATGGGATCATGCAAGAGCATGACCTATATTAAAACCACTACCTGGCCAAAATACATGAGTATATGACAGCCATTATTATTGTGCTTACTTGAATGTTGATTTCTTGAGGGACAGTCTGGCTTTGAATCCAATTATACACCTTGGCCAGCTCCTCCTTTTGCCCATGAGAAAACTGGGGCTGCTGTTGCCTCATATTTTCTAACTTTTCTAGGTCTTCTTTTAGTACAACTTCTTTAACCCTGAAAACAAACAAACAGAATCTTAATAGTCCTGAATAAGACACAGGGTTCTTTTCATGTCATGTAAGAACAGCACTTCTTTTTTGGCTGGTAATACACCTTACATTTTCTAATACATGAGGCATACATTAAAAAAAAAAAAAACTAGATCATTTCCTTGTCAAGTTGGTAAAGGCTTTTTTCTTGGTGGAAAATATCTATATGATGTTTAAATGAGGTGTATGGAAGAAAGAGATTTCCCTTAGCTCTTTTCTTTTAGAATGGGGCAAAAAAAATCAAGAGTCTAAAACAAAAAGTTCTTGTACTTGTGTGCCATCTTGCAAAGCACCGACTTTGTTTCCTTGTCTCATGATGTGTAAGATCTGTTTAGTCTGGATCTGAATATAGGTGACACTATCTCTGCCATCCTTATTTTAAGAAATCATTCATCACTTTACTTCAAATGAATAAATTTGAAAATACATTTCTTAAAGAGAATTTATAAAACATTCAATAATTATTTCGTCTTTAAAAACACATTAAGAAACCACAGGCCAGGCGCAGTGGCTCACGCCTGTAATCCCAGCACTTTGGGAGGCTCAGGTGGGCAGATCACCTGAGGCCAGGAGTTCAAGATCAACCTGGCCAACATGAGGAAATCCCATCTCTACTAAAAATACAAAAAACTAGCTGGGTGTGGTGGTGCATACCTGTAATCCCAACTACTTGGGAGGCTGAGGCAGGAGAATCTTGAACCTGGGAGGCAGAGGTTGTAGTGAGCCAAGATGGCACACCATGGCACTCCAGCCTCCAGAGTGAGACTCTGTCACAAACGAACCAACCAACCAACCAACCAATCAACTCCGTCTCTGCTAAAAATACAAAAATTAGCCAGGTGTGGTGGTGCACACCTGTAATCCCAGCTACTAGGGAGGCTGAGGCAGAAGAATCGCTTGAACCCAGGAGGTGGAGGTTGCAGTGAGCCGAGATTGCTAAACTGCACTCCAGCCTGGGTGATAGAGCGAGACTCCGTCTCAAAAAAGAAAAAAAGAAACCACAAAAATAAAAAAAGTGGGTCTTCTAAAGTGCTTTCTTACCTCTCAGGTACCTGATATGTCATGAGAACACACTCAGGTGTCTGCCGTATCATTCTCCAGATGGACTCTTCAGCGACATTAGGAAATGTTTCTTGTTTCTGTACATCCTGAGATTGCTGCCCATTTTGGGAGATTTTAGAATAAACACTACTAGTAAAGTATATACTGCTGTCGCTGCTTCCTGTCAAAAATCAACAACAAATAATTAGAAAAGACCTGTCTGACTGATTTGCCAAACTGGCTCTCATTCTTCAAAGACTCTTGCCTTGGACAGTCCTCCTCCTCAGCCAGCCCAACCATTATTTCCGGGAAAGTTCCTCCTCCCTGTGAACAGCTTCCTGGTTCTTTGGTCTTCCTGAGATCTCTTTTTCCATTCCTAACGAGCTATCACTCTCAAGGTTACATACATTGCCCTTTATCATCACCCATAACTGTTCCATCTCCAAAATCATTAACATCTCAGCTTCACTTTCTCATTGGCTTGTTCAATTATTTCAACTATAAATGTGTTAACAGTGTCTTAGTCTTCCTGTAGTTCCTTCATTATTCAGCCTGGAGTCCTCAGTTCATCATTCAGCAACATACCTTGCAATATCTTAGACTTATTTTTCCCTCTGACTTTTCATAACTGTCAAAATGCCAACTCCGATAAAGATAATTATTGACTTTGTTCTTACCTAAACCCAAGTAGCCAAATACGTAGAGAAAGTCACATACAACAGGGTACAGTGTTTCTACAATAAAAAACTCATCATCACCAACCTCAAATGCACCATTAAAATGCTACAGTTCTCTGGTCATGCACTAACCTACCCCCAGCAATGACTATTTTCAACCTCTCTATTTCCTCCCTCAATCTCACCTATTTTATAAGGAAAAAAGCCATCAGAAAGCAAATTAATCATCTTTATGATACCCAACATACACAATTAATGATATATGTACCCCTCCTCACCTTCCTCCTCTCACAACAGAGAAACTCTTCATCCCAAGGACCATCCCTTTATGGCTGCTATGAAGCCTTATGGATCATTCCTTTCCTATCTTGCATGTGACCCTTCTAGATCCTTCTCACTGACTTTGAAAGAATTAAAAATACCAATTTGTTTAATTTTTTAAAAAAGTATGTAGATAAAAAAGTAATAAAAACATTTTCTTCATTAAAAAATATCTTTAGGTTGGGCATGGTGGCTCACGCCTGTAATCCTGGCACTCTGGGACGCCAAGATGAGAGGATTGCTTGAGGCCAGGAGTTTGAAACCAGCCTGGGCAACATAGTGAGGTTCCATTTCCATAAAAATAAAAAATTAGCTGAGTGTGGTGGTACGTGCCGGTAGTCCCAGCTACTCAGGAGGCTGAGGTTGGAGGATTGCTTGAGTCCAGGAGTTTGAGGCTACAGTGAGCTATGATTGCATCAGTGCACTCTAGCCTGGGTAACAGAGTGAGACCTTGTGTCAAAACAACAACAACAAAACACCCACACAAAACAACTTTAAGAGGTTTTTACTGATTAAAGCAAAAATAGTAACAGTGTTATTGTGGGTTTTTTCACACGTTAAAAATGTATGACAAAAATAGCACAAAAGACAAGGGGGACATGGAAGTACTCTGTCTTAAGGTTCTAATACATAAGGTGATAGAACAGGTATAATATTTGAAGGTAAACTGTGATAAGTAAAAGATGTGCACCGTAAAACCTAAAGCTGGCTGGGCGCGGCGGCTCACACCTGTAATGCCAGCACTTTGGGAGGCCGAGGCGGGCAGATTGCCTGAGGTCAGGAGTTTCAGACTAGCTTGGCCAACGTGGTGAAACCCCATCTCTACTAAAAATACAAAAAAATTAGCCAGACGTGGTGGCGCACGCCTGTAGTACTGGCTACTTGGGAGGCTGAGGCAGAAGAATTGCTTGAACTCGGGAGGTGGAGGGTGCAGTGAGCCGAGACGGCACCACTGCACTCCAGCCTGGGCAACAGAGTCTCAAAGAAAAAAATAAGATAAAATAAAAATTAAAAAACAGTAACTCCTAGAGCAAAAACTTTAAAAAAAAAAAAAAAAAAAAGGTATGCTTGAGAAGCCAATACACAATTAACCCAAAAGGAGGAGGGTAGGAGGAAAAAAAGAAAGGGCAGATGAGACAAACAGAAAATCAGCAGCAAGATGAGAGATTTAACTTAAACCTAACCATATCAACATTCACATTAAAGGTAAACAGTCTAAGCAAGCATTGCAGTTAAAAGGCTGAGATTGTCACATGAATAAAAATACCCAACTATATGGTGGTTACAAGACTTACTTTAAATACAAAGACACAGATTAGTTAAAAGTAAAAAGATGGAAAAAATTTACCATGTAAACGCTAATCAAAATAAAGCTGGACTGGATACACTGATACCAGACAAAGCAGACTTCAAAGCAAGATATATTTCAGGATAAAGAGAGCAATTCATCAGAGGATATAATAACCTTAAGTGCATATGCACCTAATAAAAGAGCTTCAAAATACATAAAGCAAAAACTCACTGCACTATAAGAAAAAATAGAGAAATTCACATTTATAGCTGGACATGTAAGAGCTGTATCATAATAACTTATAAAACGGATAGAAAATCATAACAGAGAAAGTTGGATCAACGTTATCAACCAACTTGATCTAATTTACAATTATAGAACACATGACTCAACAACAGCAGAAAGCATATTCTTTTCAAATGCACATGAAACATTTATCAAGATGGACCAAATTCCAGATCATTACACAATGTCTCGGTAAATTTAAAAAATACAAAACAAAGTTCTCTGACTGCATTTAAATTAGAAATAAAATAAAAATATCTAAAAAAAAATCTCCAAATATTAGGAAATTAAGCCTTTCTAAATAACTGAAAGATCAAATAAGAAAATACAAGTGAAATTAGAAATATTTTAGACTGGCCAGGCACAGTGGCATATGCCTGCAGTTCCAGCTACTCAGGAAGCTGAGGCCACAGGATTGTTAAGCCCAGGAGTTTGAGGGTGCAGTGAGCTGGGATCATGCCACTGCACTCTAGCCTGGGCAACAGAGTGAGACCTTGGTTCAAAAGGTCTTGGTTCAAAAAAAAAATTGAAGCTGCATGAAAATAAAAATACAACATACCAAAATTTGAGGGATGCAATGGTTAGAGTACTCAATAGCATTAAATGTTTATATTGGGGGGAAAAAATCTCAATTCAAAGATCTAACAAGCTTCTACCTTAAGAAATAAGAAAAAAACAAATAAAAATCCAAAGTAAAGAGAAAAGAAGTAATAAAAATTAGAGCATAGGCTGGACGCAGTGGCTCACGCCTGTAATCCCAGCACTTTGGAAGGCCAAGGCGGGCGAATCATGAGATCAGGAGTTCAAGACCAGCCTGGCCAACGTGGTGAAACCCTGTCTCTACTAAAAATAAAAAAAATCAGCCGGGTGTGGTGGCAGGCGCCTGTAATCCCAGCTACTCTGGAGGCTAAGGCAGGAGAATCGCTTGATCCCAGGAGGTGGAGGTTGCAGTGAGCCGAGATCATGCCACTGCACTCCAGCCTGGGCGACAGTAGAAGACTCCGTCTCAGGAAAAAAAAAAAAAAAAGACCATAAATCAATAAAATAAAAAAGCAAAAAAACAATAGGCAAAAAAACCCCAATGAGATCAAAAGTTCTTTGAAAAGTTATTAAAATTGATAAACATACAGTCAGATTGAACAGGAAAAATATTAATACCAGCAATAAGAGGGGTACATTACTATAAAACCTATAGACATTACAAGGAAAAGGGAATATTTAAAACTTTATGCCAATACATTCAACAAATTAGATAAAACAGATACATTTCTTAAAAGATACAAATTACCAAAGATCACTAAGAAACTGATAAACTGATTAGACCCATATCTATTAAAGAATTTAAATTTGTTGTTAAAATCCTTCTCACCAAGAAAACTCCAGGCCCAGAAAGATTCACAGGTAAATTCCACCAAACATACAAAGAAGAAATAATACCAGTTCAGCACAAACTCTTCCAGAAAACAGAATAGCAAAGAATAGTTCCTAGCTCATTTTTTGAAGCTAGAATTACTCTGATACCAAAACCAGACAAAGACATTACAAGTAAAGAAAGCGAATGGACCAATATTCTGCACAGAGATGCAATAATGTGTAACAAAACATTAGGAAGATAATCCAACAATACACAAAGAAGGATAAAAGAGCATGACCAAATGCAAGGTTAATTTACTATCAGAAAACTGATGTAATTCACCATATTAATAGAATAAGGGAAGAAAACCACATGATTATCTCAACAGATGCAGAAAAGGCAACTCAGCAGACTAGCAGCAACAGAAGGGAACTTCCTCAATCTGATAAGGGCATTCAAGGAAAACTTACGTTTAACATCATACTTAATGGTAAAACACTGAGTGCTTTTCCCTTAAGACTGTGAACCAGGGAAGTATCTATTTTCCTATTTCTATTAACACTTCACTGTGGGTCCTAGCCAGTTCAACGAGGCAAGACAAATAAATAAAGACATACAGATGGAAAAAAAGAAGTAAGATTATATTTGTAGATAATAAAGACTATGTAGAAAAGTCTTGCAGAATCTACAAAAGAGCTACTAAAACTAATAAATGAGTTTAGCAAGACTGCAGAATACGAGTTAAAAACACACAATTTGATTACATTTCTACATGCTAACAACAAACAACTGCAAATTGAAAATTTTAAAAGCCATTTACAGTAGCATCAACAATTATAAAATCCTTAGAGACAAATTTAGCAAAACATGTGTAAGAGTTGTAGGCTGAAAACTATAAAACACGGCTGAGAAGAATTAAAGACCTACATAGAGAAATTGTTGTACTTGTGGATCAAAATACTCAATATCATTAGGAAGATAATTATTCACAAATTGATCATCTATAGATTCAACACAATTTCAATCAAAACACCAGAAGACTTTTTTGTAGAAACTGAGAAATGGAATCTATAATTTTTATGGACAAAGGACCTAGAATATTCAAAATCATTTTGAAAAAAAGAATTAAGTTGAAGGACTTACTTCACCAGACTTTAACACTTACTTGAAAGTTACATTACTCAAGAGTGTGGTACTGGCCTAAAGCTAGCCACACAGATCAGTGGAACAGAAGAGTCCAGAAATAGACCCACACATATATGGTCAAGTTATTTTCAACGAAGTCGTCATGTCAATTTAATGGGGAAAAGATTAATCCTTTGAACAAACAGGGCAGGAACAATTAGATATCCCAACGTAAAGAAAGTATATTGACCCTTCCTCATACCATACACAAAAATTAACTCAAAATGGATTACAGATCTAAGCTGTAACTGCTATTAAGGGTGCGTCTCAACAGCATCATGTTAACTGAAAGAATCCTAATACGAAAGATGTCATGCTGTCTGATTCTATACGTAAATCATAGGAAAAGCAAAACTAAAGTGACAGCAAACCAGTGGCTGCCAGGAGACCAAGGGTCAGGGCAGAGATGGACTGGTGAGGGTCACAGAACTTTTTGGGGTGACAGAAATGTTCTATATGGTGATTGTGTTTGTGCTTACATGAAAGTACATATCTGTCAGAATTCTGGTTTGTACCCCTAAAATTGGTGAATTTTATTGTGCATAAATATACCCCAATATACCTGACAAGAAAAAAGGAAAAAGAAAGAAACCCTGTACTTCCACATCAGTGCCTGGGGTACACAGTGAGAGCTTATCACATAGTGAATGCCTGGCAATGGAGTTTGAAACATTAGTTGTCCTGATCCACTACCTGATGCTGCAGAACCAGTTCCGGACAGAGATTCGCAGGGAGGTGACCCCGTGGACAGAACGCTGGCAGTAGGATAGGATGGAGTCCCGCTGGGAGGCGACCCCATGGACAGTGTGCCGGCAGTAGGATGGGATGGATTCTCCCTGGGAGGTGACCCCATGGACAGTGCACCGGTAGTGGCAGGACTGCTCTCACTGCTACTGTTGCCTGCAACACACTGCTAGAAAGTAAGGGCAATGAAAAGACACTTTAATCTTCTTATCACAAAATACAGTAGAGTCCTCCTTTATTCATGGTTTTGCTTTCTGTAGTTTGTTACCTGTGGTCAACTGAGGTCCAAAAATAGTAAATGGAAAATTCCAGAAATAAACAGTTCATAAGTTTAAAATTGTGATCCATTCTGGTGGTGTCATAACATTTTGAGCTGTCTCATTGTTTCCAGCCTGTGATAGGAATCATCCCTTTATTTCGTGCCTCCACACTGTATGTGCTACCCACTTGTTAGTCACTCAGTAGCCGTCTTGGCTGTCAGATCTACTGTGGTGGTATTGTAGCGCTTGTGTTCAAGTAACACGTATTTTACATAATAATGGCCCCAAAGTGCAAAAGGAGTGATGCCAGCAATTGGGATATGCCAAAGAGAAGTCATAAAGTGCTTCATTTAAGTGAAAAGGTGAAAATTCTCAAGAAGGAAAGGAAAAACCCATGTGCTCAGGAGTGCTACAATTTTAGGCAAGAATGAATCTTCTACCCGTGAAACTGTGATGAGTCCATTTTATAACTGTTCTATGTTATTAGTTACTGCTGTTAATCTCTTACTGTTCTTAATTGATAAATTAAACTTTACCATAGGTATGTACAGTGTGTATAGGAAAAAACATACTGTATACACGGTTCAGAACTCTTCAGTTTCCAGCATCCACCAGGGGTTTGAAACATATCCCCTGGGTAAGAGAGACTACTGTAACTGGAAGATCTTCAACTTCATATGTTAAATAGAACAAAATTTACATATATAACTAAGAAGTAAAAACTTTCCAGCCTATCCCTAAGAAGTTCCATTGTAAGTAATATTAAGGCACTACTACTTTCTCAGTACCTGCTACATGCCAGGCACCACACAAGTAGTTTTTTTGTCACTCAGCAAATACATACCAAACATTTTATACGTTCTAGGCACTGTGTCAAACACGAGGAATATAATAATGAACAAAACAAAGTTCCAGCTCTCTGGGAGCACCCTCTGCATAGGGATAGGTACTATATAAATACATCATTTAGCCCTCAGAGTAAGTTATGAGGAATTCATCTTTCCATTTTCCTAATAAGGAAACAGAGGCAAAGAAAGGTTAAATAACTTGTCTAAGTGAATCTACCTAACTAGTGACCAAGCTGGGATTTGAATCTATGTCTTAATCCGTAGCCCAGGCTTTACTCACTGTAATATACTGCCTTGCCTTAGATTTTTAGCAAGCACATTAATACCAGGTTTTCAAAAGTGAGCATATTTTCTTGATTTGTATCACTAGATTTTGAGTATCTGTTAAAGAGGGGTATAATACCTTGAAGGGAAGGTCAAAGAATCTGTGTAAATATTCACACTTGCCTTGGATTCTATACCTAAATATAGCAACATCAGATTCCAAAGGTTAAACTGCTAAATAAACCTGAGAATGGCTTTTTAGGTAAAGGGAGGAAAAACTAAAGGAAGTAGACCAAAAAAGCTTTTGATTTTGAAAAAATAACATGTTTAAGTGTGAAACTATAAACTGTCTACTCTACTGATAATAAATAAAGTAGCTCCTAACCCTTCATACACACCTGTTGTCCTGCGACTATGCATGAAGAAGTACAATCCTTAAACTGTCAACATGGCTTATTTCTATCTCACCAGACCATAACCCCGGTTGTAAGTAAACAAATACATATTATAGGCAATGAACACTTAAGCGTAATACCTGGATCGAATTTTAAAGAGTGGAGAGAATCCAGTTCACATGAAAACTTAAAAGCACTTTGGAAAAAACCTCACAAAGTATCTAAGAAACTAGAATATAGATGATTCTTTCGTGTCTACTTTCCAAACAGAGCCAGGCAGATGTGTTTCGTGTTTACACACAGTTAGGCTGACAGGCTCGCTCACAGCAGCCATGCGGATTACCTACTGAGGATGTCTGCGCTGAGTCCCAACGCGACCACCTTAACTTTAGTAAGATATTCACTTTCTCACTTGAGCACTGAAAATGAGCATCACTTACATACTCAGCTTGTGGGCACGTGTTCCTTCTCATCTGATCTGGAGATTCAGAGCGTCTGGGCATCTCTTCCTGAAGTAAGTTTAACTGCAAGGGTGAGCTGCTCCTCGAAGTAATGAACGGGTGCCCCTCGCTTTGTGCCTCCCACTTTTCCTCCTCTCTCCTTTGGTTGGTTACTGAAGCAGGTGGGTCCAGGGTTGGAGTCATTGCTGACATCGAGGGTGATATCGCAGAAGAGGCTGTCGCCCCCAGGAATGGACATGGAAAGAACGATGGTGACAACAGAGGGCAGACAGGGGGGTCAGGCAGGAAAACGGTCATAAAAGTATCCAAGTAAGGAGAAGGGAAAGCTGGGTAAGGCTGCAGGTCCTTGGACAATGGCGGCCCATGCAGGCCTTCCGGTACAGTTCCGGGGGCTGCGTATTCTCTTCCGGGACAGGTCGCAGCTGGGAGGGGAAAAGCTGGGACGAGGTAAGGGGCCTGGCTGGGCACCATGGCAGCAGGTGGGAAGGTTGGGCCCAAGGTGTGCGGAGAGGAGGCCGTGGAGGGGCAGCAGGGCTGTGCGTTTTGACGCACTCCCCTGTGGGGACCAGAGCCCGCGTTCGAGCTGCTGGTGTCCGGTGGCTCTGGCAGCTTCTTCCGTTTGTGCTTCCCTTTCCTGCAGCCGGCCAACTGCGTCTGCTTGGAAGTATAATCTCCTGGAAGGATAAAGATAGAGGCAAATTATGGAAAATTAAACCCAAAAAGAAGAAAAGGATGCCACTTACTGGTAGTTATAAGTAGCTGACAATGAATGTGCATTTGCCAATACTACCAGAATGGCAAAAAGTGGCTCTAAAAACATGAACAAAATTCCGGATAAAAACAGTTGCTATCAAATAAACTTATTTCAGCATCTCTCAATCAGTTTCTCACAAAAAAAGTTTCCCAGATCTAGGATCTAAGAAAGAACCTACATAAATTGTTGATGTAAATAGATTGTTTTAGCATCTTTCCATCAGCTTCTTACAAGTGAAACTCCTATTGTTTACTCCTTATCTCCTAGTCCTTAGATATAGTTTGTAACATCTACATAGATTAATGGCATTTATTTTTAAAAACTTATGTACCTTGAAAATATGAATATTTAGCTTTGCTTCTGCTTTCTTGCTGAAGATAGGAGCTGTAGGGGGATGACAGGATCTTTTCTCGGAATTTATCAACATAATTCTGTTCTTCCTTCTGGGTGTGGGCTGACAGAACAGCCGCTGTGAGCCCCACATGTTTAAATTCTTCTGAGGTCAAAGGGGCTGGCTGCATGTTCAGAGTCCAGGGCTCACAGACGAGGGTGGCATCCCTGGCTGAGGTGGAAGAAGACATACTTAATTTTAATTCCTATCAATTACTTGTATTTATTTATTTTACTTTGTTAACTGCCTTTCAATACATTTTTACAAACATTAATTGCTGGAATACAAAAAATCATTAGTCTAGCATAAAAATTCTTGATTTTCTGTATATTCTTTGCACAAATACACATCTTACAGTTGTAATAATCAATATGTACACATTTATTTAAATCTTGCTTTTATTGTAAACACTTTTCTCCCTGAATTCTTCAAAATTTCTTTTTATCTTTATCTTTTAAATAGGCAATCCTGTGGTTCAAAAATCAGCAAGTATTAATAAAGACATGTAGTAGTACATTCTCCTCACCCCTGTCCATGCTCTGTCTAGTTCTCATTTGTTTCCCCTGCAGAAGACCATTCCGCTGGAGTGCAGTGGCGCCATCTTGCCTCACTGCAACCTCTGCCTCCCAGGTTCAAGTGATTCTGCCTCAGACTCCTGAGTAGCTGGGACTACAGGTGTGCGCCACATCACACCTGGTTAAGTTTTGTTTTTATTTTATCTTATTTTATTTTATTTGAGATGGAGTTTTGCTCTTGTTGCCCAGGCCAGAATGCAATGGCACAATCTCGGCTCACTGCAACCTCTGCTTCTTGAGTTCAAGCGATTCTCCTGCTTCAGCCTCCCAAGTAGCTGGGATTACAGGCATGTGCCACCACGTCCGGCTAATTTTATATTTTTAGTAGAGACGGGGTTTCACCATGTTGGCCAGGCTGGTCTCGAACTCTTGACTTCAGGTGATCCACCTGCCTCGGCCTCTCAAAGTGCTGGGATTACAGGCATGAGCCACTACACCTGGCCCTTTCAATTTATTATGTATGAATAAGCATGAATATAGATTATCTTCCTCCGTGACCCCATCTTTACCCAAAGGCACATATGTACATTAGCCATCAACGCACCTTTTTCACTTTACCATATCCCTTGGAGAACTTTATCAATGGCTGAACAGTTGTCTCATACTTTTACACTGCTGCGGAGTTCCATTTTATATGCATAGCACAGTTTACTAAAGTGAACATCTATGGATGGATTTTGGGTTGCCTCTTTTTATCTGTTTATCTATTTATTATTGATATATAATAGTTGTACATTAAAATTTATTTTATTGATACAGAATAGTGATATGTATTTTTGGGTTGCTTGTAAAAAATTACTTCTATGAACAAAAGATTTTGTGGTGGACATTGTCGAGGGCTCCCCCAACATCCATTCCGGCTTGCCCCTGTGGTGCAGTATCCAGGTGGTTTCGGTGGGTGTGGCCCCACTCTGCATCCAGAAGTGGCCTGTGACTAAATCAACACCACAGGGGGCTTTGCTTCTGGCCAAGTTGGAATAACAGGGACCAAACTTACCCTCCTGTTTGAGATGAAAAAAAAAAAAAGGCCTAAATATACAAAACAATAGGTTTCAGACACTGAAGGGAAGTGACCCTGGAGGATAAGAAACAAGGGAGGTGAGCCCGAGGACTGCCCCAGCGTGCAGCCTAGAGGACTTCCAAGGATTCACCAGGGCATTCATGGGAGGAAAACACCACGAGAGGATTAGCAGGAACAAGAGCTGAAACTCACACAAGCTGCAGAACAGCAGCGGTTCCGCAGCGGTTCCCATCCGCCAGACTAGAGACTCTCCTAACTCCTGAGGCATCACGAGGAGCACTCAGGAAGGTCTCGCCTTGGTAGCAGAGGAAAAACAGGCCTCGACTACACACTATTGGTCCTGCCTAGCAAATTTAAAAAGCAAAGCCTGAAAGGATCAATCTGTTTCCAGGTAACTTCACTGGGACCCAGAATAAAGATCAAGAATATTTACAGGAATACAAATATATTTGGTACCCATTCACAATATCTGGCATCCAATTAAAAAGAATCACCAGGCATGCAAAGCAGCAGGAAAATACAACCCTGTAATAAGGAAAAAAGGCACTGAGAAACTGAGTCTACAATTTATACAGACAAAAGACCTAACAGTCAAAGCAATCTTGAAAAAGAATAAAGCTGAAGGATTTAAACTACCTGATTTCAAGACTTACTGTACAGCTACATGAACCAAGACCCCTCTCTACTGGTATAAGGGGTTTATCAATTTTGTTCATCTTTTCAAAGAACCAACTTTTAGCTTTAATTTTCTCTACTGTCTGTTTTCTATTTTGTCGATTTTTGCTTTTGTCTTTTATTATTTCCTTCATTCTATCTTGGACTTACATCACTCTTCTTTTGCTAACTTTTTAAACTGTAACTTTAGATCACTGATTTGAGACATTTCTTCTCTAACAGCATTTTTAAAGCTATCGATCTTACAAGCCCCGTTTTTAGCTGCATCTCATACATTTTAGTATGCTATACTTTCAGTATCATTGATTTGGAAATATTTTCTAATTCTCTTTATGATTTCATTTTTGAATCACAGATTTACAAATGTGTTGTTCGATTTATAAACTTTTGGGTTGCGACACCTTATTACTTATTTTTAATTTAATTCACTAGCCAGAGAACACAGTTTACATACCATCAATCCTTTTAAATCTGAGACATAGTACAGTCCGACATGTCGTATTTCTCAGTGAACATACTGTGTGTACTTGAAAAGGCTGTGGATTATGCAGTCACTGGGCCTCACATTCTCTAAGTATCAATTAGATCAAGGTGGTTGATAGTGTTGTATAGATCATATGTTTCTTATTTTTTCTGTATGTTTTTATCAATTACAGAGAGGAAGTGTACAATTTTCCAAATATAATTATGGAAAATCTATTTGCATATTTTTGCTTCATAGCTTTCAAAGCTCTGTTATTAGTGAATATACATTTATGACTGCTATGTCTTTCCTGAGGAATTGACCGCCTTGTCATTATGAAATGATGTCCTGGAATCTATTTTACATGTATTAATAAGTCACTGCAGCCTTCTGATGTTTACTGTTTCACTTGTGCATCTTTTTCCATTCATTTACTTTCAATCCATTTGTGAATTTCATTTGTACTTTGTAGAGAGCATGTAGTTAGGTCTTGAGTTTTTAAAATCTGTTTTGAGAATTTTTGCCTTTTATGTATTTACTTATTTTTAGAGACAGGATCTTGCTCTGTCACTCAGGCTGGAGTACAGTAATGTGATCAGAGTTCACTGTAGCAATGAACCCAAGACGGGCTCAAGCTGGGCTCAACTGATCCTCCTGCCTCAGCCTCCCAAGTAGCTGGGATTACAGGTGTGGGTCACCACACCTGGCTAGTTTAAAAATTTTTTGTAGAGATGGGGTTTCACTGTATTGCCCAGGCTGGTCTCAAACTCCTGGCCTCAAACAATCTTACCTGCTCGGCCTCGTGAGTCCCTGGGATTACAGGTGTGAACCACTATTCTTGGCCCAATTTTTGCCTTTTAATTGAAGTGTTGAATCAATTTTATGTCATCATTGACATAGCTGGATACAGAGTTATTATCTTATTATTTGGTTTGTTCTGTTTCTTTTTTGTTAATCTTTTCCTCCTTTCCTGCTCTTCTTTTGGATTGAGTATACTTTAAAATTTCATTTTATTGATTGGCTTAGCCATTGTATCTCATATCCCATCTTTTAAAAAATTATTTTAGGGCTGGGCGCTGTGGCTCACGCCTGTAATCTCAACACTTTGGGAGGCTGAGGTGGGCAGATCACCTGAGGTCAGGAGTTCAAGACCAGCCTGGCCAACATGGTGAAACCCTGTCTCTACTAAAAATACAAAAATTAACTGGGTGTGGTGGCAGGCATCTGTAATCCCAGCTATTCGCGAGGCTGAGGCAGGAGAATCACTTGAATCCAGGAGGCGGAGGCTGCAGTGAGCCGAGATCATGCCATTGCATTCCAGCCTGGGCAACAGAGTGAGACTCGTTCTCACAAATAAAATAAAATAAAATAAAAATTAATTTTTTGTAGACAGAGTCTCACTATGTTGCCCAAGCTGGTCTCAAACTCCTGCATTTAAGCAATCTTCCTGTCTTGGCCTCCCAAAATGCTGGGGTTACAGGCATGAGCCTCTGTGCCTGGCCTACATTCCATCTTAATTAGACCCTGCTTTAGGTTCAAAATATCTGTAATGGCAACGACTCCTAGAGACTAATGGTCAATACTTGATTCCCTACTCTACTACTCATGGGCTGTGTGATATTGGGCAAGTTAAGTTACTTCGCCTATTTGTGGCTTCATTGTCCACATATGAAATGAAGATATTAACTTGCAAGGAAATGCACTTGTGACCATGGTCCTCAGACACGACTCATTTAAGTCAGGATGCAAACTGAGGGAATGAACATGAACTTTTCAGAAAGCAAAAGACATAGAGATATGTTTTAAGGAACATCTGGGCTCTGATTCCGCTTTTTCTCCATGGAATAAAGATGTGGCCCTGTAAATGTTGAGGATGATTCAAGATCAGGAGAAACTAATACCAGTAAAAATTTCCTGAGCATATGGATTTTAGTATAAATTCATTAAAAATGGTAATATAAGAGCAGAGTATAGAAAGCAGAGTGGCAGAATTAAAAAAAGAGCTTTTCATATTGGGTGATACCCTCCCTTCCTGCATGGGCTGTATTATGAACAGCTACATGCCCATACAGGAATACAAAATATTAAAAGCCACACTAAAAAATGTGCATATGCTCCTCTGTGGAAGGGCTAGCTCAGTTCCAGTGAAACTCTACTTTTGACTAATTAGAAACGTAATGCTCTCTGGTCTTTCCCCACCAATCCACAGATCTCCTGTCAGTACCATGCTCTCCATCTCACAGGTTGTTGGAAAGATTTAATGAGATCATCCCAATGAAGAACTAAGAGCAGAGAGTGGCACAAAGAAATGGCTCGACACATGTTAGCTGATAGGCCACTGAAGACTAGCAAAGATAAAGCACAGATCATGTGAAAACCCAATTTAACATATTTGTCACCATTCTTTCATCTACCCAAATTGTTATTAGTGATGAAAATGTCAAAAGGACAGGTGGCAATAAGGAGGAATAAAAAGAAGACAGTAGAATAATTACCAAGTAATTATGGTGTTAAATGAAGACTTTTAAAGAACTCTATTCATTGCTATCACACCAATACAAAAATCTGAACGCATGTGTGACTGAGCTCATCACAACTTACAGGATGGTGAAATGCAGGTGAAAGGAACACATTCTTTAAAAGTCAGCAAGGAAGTAACCTCACACAGTCCCATCTATAATTGCATTAACAATGGCTAACAGTAATTGAGGGCTTACTAATACCTACCTACTAGGTACTGTATTAAGTGCTTTTTATGTGTCAACTGATTTCACTGACAAATAACGTAACTGAGAAATACTGTCCAAAATATGTAACCAACACAAACGTGATGATGTTTCCAGAAATACTTTAACTGAACTAAAGAAAGGAAAAAATATGTGTAGTTTAGAAGTTATAACTGAGCAAATGGCATTCATGACTTTCGTTTTCTCATCACAATGTAGTTAATATTGAGTATATTTTCAAAGTAAGAGGCGAGTGTGGTACCTGTCTCTGGTGGGACGTGGACAATGGTGCTGCTGTAACCGCACTGGCTTATGCCCGACCCCAAGCTCAGCACCGCCGTGGACAGGATCTGTGGAGCTCCTCCTCCTGCGTCTATGGACGGTCCATTTGTTGGCATTTCTGATTTAGGTATGGTTGAGATTTGCAAACCAGCTGGTGGTGTAAGAGAAACTGACAGTGAAAAGAAAAATTCCCAACAAGAAATTTATGTAAAAGACCCAGTTTACAGAAGTTTGTAACCAAGAAATTAAACCTTACTGGCCATAAAGAGGTAATATGAAATCAGAATTTTATGCGTTCAACAAAATAAATATAAGACATTAAAGAGAAACATGAAGGATGTATTTATAGTTCTTTGACTTTAACTCCGAGGGGCATTCTTGTTACCTTGTAAGGCTTGGATATCATCTGCCTTGTGGTTCTGTTTGTCTTCTTCTGAGGAGGAGGAAGTTGTATTTGTACAGGAGATACACTTTCTTTTCAAAGCTGGAATGTTGTAGCTCTTCAGGTATCTGTAACAACATAATTAGGCCCCATATTCTTAGCTGGTTCCCTAACTGTGCCATTTCCCACCTCTTTGCTTTTCTCATGCCACTTCTGTTTGGAATACTTCGTACTTTCTTCTTTGATAAAGTCTTCCCTGACCATCCCAGCCTCAATCACTGGATTGTAACATTTCTTTTACTGTGGTTTTGAATTAACCTTCAAATCTTATGTCACAGCTGTCCAATCTTTTGGCTTCCCTGGGCCACGCATAAAATACACTAATACTAATCATAACTGATGAGCTAAAAAAAAAAATCACAAAAAAATCTCATAATGCTTTAAGAAAGTTTACGAACTTGTGTTGGGCTGCATTCAAAGCCGTCCTGGGACACACGCAGCCTGTGGGCCGCGGGCTGGACAAGCTTGCCTTACACCATTTAATTTTGACAAAAATAGGTCTTGTCTTCTGAACTATACCACAGTTTCTTCAAAGAAGGAATGCATCTTCTAGCTTTTTGTGCCTTCTGTAATGTTCAGCGTGTTAGGCACGCCATCAATATCTACTGATTTATAGTGAAACACCAAGTGAGAGCAGCTATTAAAAATTCTATGAAGTCTCTACAGTGACAGTGTATGCTTTTGGAACAGACTTACATGGTATCCAAACTTGCGGTCTCATACCTGATGACACTGTCGATACAGTTGATCTGTTGATAGGATGGGCTGTGCTCATCGTTCCTCAAATCCTCATAAGGCTCAGTGTACACACTATTATTTTTCAGTGTTTGGTGGAAGGAAGTAAAGGTTTTATATTCACCTGAAACAGAATAAAGGGATGTGCAATTAAAGGTACCCAGCATGTAATTAAGAACATATACTTTCTTACTAAAATTAAACCATGGCACTTTATCATGTATATATCAATAGAATATTATGCAGCTATTAAAAATGAGTGCAGATCTAAAATGCACTAATAGAAAGACATCCACAACACACAATGTGAATAAAATAAGGTACAGAGCACATTACATATAGAATGGCTACAACTGTAGTTAGAAAAATAAGGAATGAAACCAAAATTTCCAGCAAAGATTGTCAAGGAATGAAACCATAGGTTTAAGGTTGATGGGGAACTTTCCAATGTTGAGCTGACACTGCCTGTACAACTGGTCAACCCTGGCAATCACTAAGGGTGGAATGTGGGAAGACCTGTGCGTCTTACGTGATGCTGAGTGAAGTACACAGCATCTCCCACATGGAGCCTGTGTCCAACAGAACTTTCTGTGATGACTGATGGATTATTTGTGCTGACTAGTATGGTAGCCACTAACATACCTCTATTAAGCACTTGGAATATGGCTAGAGCAACTGAGAAACTAAATGTTAATTGTATTACATTTAACTGTATTGAATTTGAATTTAAACTGCCAAATGTGGCAAGTGGCCACCACTGAAGATGTAGGTACAGAGAGAAGAAAAAACCTCCAGGCTTAAGCATTAAAAACTTCCTGTAAAGGACAATGAGCCAATAAAGGAGACTGAAAAAGGGAAGCTGGAAAGATAACAGAAAATCCTGCAAGGTTCGGCCTCACAGCAACCAAGAATGAAAACTTTCTCAAGGAAGGAGTAACTAATTACATCATGTACTACTGAGAAGTTTTGTAGAAGTGTTAGACGCTGGTCATTTTTAGCTGGCTTGGAAGAGGCTTCTCTATTTTCAGAAGGTATTATGGAAAAATGACTGTATTACCTTTCACTCATTAATGATTTTTAACTTTTAATTTTGAAATAATTTTAGACCTGAAAAGTTGCAAAAACAGTACAATAGAGTTCCTATATGCCTGTCATCTCGCTTCCACTAATGTTACCATGGTCTACAACCATAATAAAATGACCCGAACTAGGAAATGAACAGTGGTACCATTCTACTAACTGGAAAACAGATCTTTGGATTTTATCAGTTTACCACTCAATGCTGTTTTTCCGTTCAGGGTCACAACTTTAGTGGGATGGCCTTCGATTTGAGTTTCTCTGATGTTTTCTCATGATTAGATGGAGGTTATGTATTTGGGGAAAGAATGCCACTGAGGTGCAGTGTCCTTCCTCGCGCATCATCCCAAGGTACATGATGTCAATATGTTTTGTTACCTTGTTCATTGGTTAACATGGTGTCTCTCAGGTTTGTTTGTCCTGTGTAAAGTTACTATTTTACAATGTAGTAAACAAATAATATGCTTGGGAGGACTACTTTGCGATCACCCAAGTATTCTGTTTCTTTAAAACTTCTCAAAGTTTAAGTTCCCCATTAACCTTTCACCTGTAGTTTCATTCCTTGATAATCTTTGCCTGAACCATCTGTTTTATTCTTTTTATTTGGCATAGTATACTAACCCGTGTCTATCCATCCCTCTGTATATTAAACGAAAGGGGCATGAGTCCACACTGAAACCATTCGCGCCAATCCAGCATCATGGAGTTCCTTCCCTTCGGCTGTGTGTCGCTTTCCTCTGATAGTGAGGAGTCTGGTTATCGTTATCGATAGCGGCTTCCACAATTTGTTCAACCCTAGTATAAAGTCGCTTTAGAATTGCTACCCCGTACTCTGGTGGAAAACGAATACACCAACTTGAGTACAGTGTTTGTGCACATTCATAATTTTGTATTTAGCCCTAGGAGATCCAGTTGCAGCGCTGTTTTCCAAAGCTACTGAGCTCTATTCTTCCCCACCCCTTCCGTGTGTTTAGTCCTGTCATCTGTAATGCAGTCAGATTCACTAGTCAAAGCCTGCATCTCATCTTGGCTTCTCTTTACATTTTGGGGTGAGATGGAATGCACAAATCTGTGGGTTTTGGCAAATGCACAGAAAGTTGTGTATCCATCACCACAGTAACCAAAAGAACATTTCCATGACTTAAAAATGTCCTTACATTGTCTCCTCTACCCAATCATAGTAAATACTGATCTGCTTTCCAGAGCTAGAGCATTCCAGAAAGAACACTTTTCTGGAATGGAATTGTACAATATGTAACCTTTTGGTTCTGCCTTCTTTCACTTAACAAAATGTATTTAAGATTTATATCTACAATGGTCTGTGAATCAAGTTCATTTCTCTTCACCGTTGAGTAGCATTTCACTGTGTGGATATACATAGCTTATCCATTCTGCTGAATGACATTTGGGTTGTTTCTGTGTTTGGCAAGTAACAGTGTAATAAATATTCACATACAGGTTTTCATGTGAATTTAAGTTTCTATTTCAGTTGGGTAAATCACTAAGAATAGAATTACTAAGTTACATGGTAAGAGTATGTCTAACTTTATGGGAAATGTCAAACTTTCCCAAAGTGGCTGTACAATTTGGCATTACCTCCAGCAACGGGTGAGTGTTTCGGTCACTCTGCATCCTTGCCAACACTTGGTACTGTCAGCTTTTAAAAAAAATTTAGCCATTCTCAAAGATATGTAGTGGTATCTCACATGGTTTAAATTTTTTTGTCTAATGACTTAGGTTCAGCATCTTTTCATATGTTATTTGCTGTTTATATATCTTCTTTGGAAAAATGTTTCTAATTGGGTTGTCTTCTTGAGTTTTGAGTGTTCTTTATGAACGCTGGATATAACTTCATTATTGTATATAAAATTTGCAAATATTTTGTCTTTTCATTCTTATCAGTGTCTTTCAGGTGTGACTGGATGCCTTCAAGGTGGTATGGCCATAGTTATCAGTGTCTTTCAAAAAGGGGAAGTTTCATATTTTGATAAAGCCCAACCTGTCCTTCTTTTCTTTTCTTTTGTTCAGTATGGCTAAAGACTTACTAATTTTATTACCCTTTGATTTAACTTAGTTTCTCTTTTCAATTCCATTGATATCTGGTCTTTATTATTCCTTCTTATTGCTTACTTGAGATACAATTTGTTCTTCTTTCTCTTATTTTTAAGGAGGAAGCTTAGATTACTGAGTCTAGACCATTCTTCTTTTTTCCATATAAACACTCAATGCTGTAAATTTCCCTTTAAGCAGTGTTTTAGGTATATCCCATATATTTTCTGTTGTCTTTTCATTTTGTTCAGTTCAAATTTTTTTGAGATGGAGTCTCGCTCTGTCGCCCAGGCTGGAGTGCAGTGGTGGAATCTTGGCTCACTACAAGCTCCGCCTCCCAGGTTCACACCATTCTCCTGCCTCAGCCTCCTGAGTAGCTGGGACTACAGGCACCCACCACCATGCCTGGCTAATTATTCATATTCATGTTGAACATGAATAATTTTTTTTTGCATTTTTAGTAGAGTTGGGGTTTCACCATGTTAGCCAGGATGGTCTCAATCTCCTGACCTTATGATCCGCCCGCCTCAGCTTCCCAAAGTGCTGAAATTACAGGCGTGAGCCACCACACTGGGCCCAAAATGTTTTTATTTCCCTTGAAACTTCCTCTCTGACCTGTGGATTATTTATAAGTATGAAGTTACTTAATTTCCGAACATTTAGGGATTTTCTAAATACTTCTGTTACTGATTTCGAAGTTTGATCTATTATGGTTAGCGAATAAACAGTATATGATTTCTTTTATAAAAATATTTTAAGGTTTGTAATATGGCCATAATCTGATCTGTTCTGATGAATGTTGCATGAAAAATATGTGTTGTGTTGTTGGGTCAAGTGTTCCATAAATGTCAATTAGGCAGACCCTGCTGATAGTGTTGTTCAGGTCTTCTATAGCATTACTAATTTTCTGTCTACTTCTTTTATCAATTACAGACAGAAATGTGCTGAAGTCTCCAATTATCATTGTGAATTTGTCTATTTCTCCTTACAGTTTTACAGCTTTTACTTCATGTATTTTGGAGCTCTGATATTAGATGCATAAACATGTAAGACTTTTCTATGTTCTTAAGGAATCAACTCCTTTATCTGTTATACAGTCTCTCCTTCTAACTCTGCTAACATTCCTTATTCTGAAGTTTACTTTGTATAATAATAATATAGCTTCCCACTTTCTTTTGATTTGTGTTAGCATGATATATCTTTTCTACTCTTTTGCTCTTAACCTATGTTTATTTTCACAATGGGTTCTTGTAGATAGTATGTAGCTGGATCTTTTCATCCAATCTGACAATTTATTTCTTGTAAATTAGTGTGCTATTATTTATATTGAATATGAATAACTGAATTGAATATGATTCATATTCATATTCAATACATTAGTGATTGTTGATATTGCTGGATTAAAATATACCAGCCACTAGTTATTTTCTATTTGTTCCATTTGCTATTTAAGTGTATTTTTAGAGATGAGGTATGGCTACGTTGCCCAGGCTGTACTCGAACTCCTGGGCTCGAGTGATCCTCTCACCTCAGTCTTCTTAGTAGCTGGCACATGGCACCACTCCCAACTTCAGTTCCATTTGGTTTTGGGCCACCATTTTGGGTTAAGTGTCTTAAATTCCATTTTACCTCCTCTATTAACCTATTATTTATACTTAAAAAATTTTTCAAATTGTTTTCCTGAAGTTTCCAATATATATTCTTAAGTACTTAGTGTCTACCTCCAAATAATACAGTTTAAGGACCTAATAACAGTATATTCCCAATACCTTCCACCCAACCTCTGTAGTATTGTTGTCACAAAGGTTACTTATATACACGCTATAAATCCAGTTTGCTGGTTTTGCTTTAGTCCATTACCTTTATGAGTAATTTTAAAAATTAAAAAATAGAATTTTTAAAATCTTCATTTATTCCATTTCCAGTGCTTTTCACTTCTTTGTGTAGATCCAAGTTTTTGGTCTGGTATCATACTCCTTCTGTCTTAAGAAATTCCTTCATCAAAAATATTTCTCAACATTCACATATGACAACAAATGTTTTTCAATCATTATATGATTGGCATTGTTCTATTTATTTGGTAACTATTCTGAGTAAGGGGTAAAATTCCATCTGGTGTGTTGTCTGTATCCCTTTAAAAATGATTTGTACCTATCTACAGAGTGCCTAGATTTTCTCAAAGCACTATCCACAGAGACATTTCTCTATTTATGTTATAAACACAGTGTATTTCTCTATTTATGTTATAAACACAATATAATCATTGACAAGGGAAAATTTATGTTCATGTTTGCAAAATTACATGGTCAATTGTAAAGCATTAGCAGCATTAGAATTCATCAAGAGATGATACGTGGAGACTTGATAGACAATGCCTGTATTTAGACAGCTTGAAAACTACATATTTTTGGTAAACAAGTCTGTATTTGGTAATATTTTCCTCTAATTTCATTTAAATACATCATCCTGTTTTGTCTTGAAAAAAAAAATTCCTGTAGCACTTCTTATGGAATAAGTGTGCTGGAAATAAATTCCCATATTTGTTTGAGAAAATTCTTTATATCACCTTTATTTTCTTGAAGATTGTTTTCACTAGGTACAGAATTCTGTGCTGACAGTTTTTCTGGTTGAAGATGTTACTCTATTGTCTTTTTAGTGTGCATGGTTTCTGAAGAAATGTCTGTTACAATTCTTATCTTTGTTTCTCTGTACATAATCTTTTTTTCTGACTGCTTTCAAGATTTTCTTTTTTCCATCGGTTTGAATATGATATGCCCAAATGTTTTGTTTTGTTTTTGTTCTGTATTTAACTTACTTGATGGTCTTTGGCTCTGTAGAAAATTCTTGACCGCTATTTCTTCAAATATTTCTTCTGAGATTCCAATTATACCTATGTTGGATAGTTTGAGGCTGTCTCCAAATTCTTAGAATGCTCTATTCTGTTTGCTTCATTCTTCTTTCTCTGTTTCAGCTTGAATAATGATTCTTTTCCAGGCTGTGCTGAATGCTATTAAATGTGTTCCTCATCTCTGGCATTGATGTTACAGATGTTACATTTCCATTTGAGGGTTTCTTTCATGCCCATCTCTACGCTGTGATTACCCACCTGGCCCTGCATGGTGCCCACTTTGTCCACTAGCCTTTAATGCATCATTCATAATTATTTTACGTTCCCTGTCAGATAGTTCCAACTTCTGTGTCCTATCTGAGTCTTGCTCTGATGATGGTTTTGTTTCTTGGGAGGGTTTTTTTTTTTTCTTTTACCTTCTTGCCCATCCATATGCTACATAATTTCTTGTTGAGAACTGTGTAACTTGTGTAGGATACAGAGACTGGGCATGCCTTTCCTTCTTTTAGACCTCTGTTCGAATTAATCTAATTTTTAGGCCAGGTTTAAGTATTGTAATGGATTTACAGCATGTACAACAGTTTTCAAAATTCCTCTAGTTATACCTTTTGACTCAGCTGGTGGCTGGTTTGGTGGGTAATTTTTTTGTTTTTTCTCAATATCTGCTCCACTTTCAGCTTTTGGTCTTTCCTTGTCATTGTGCCTTGGAGAGGGTCTGTCTTCTGCAAGTTACTTGACTCAGGCTGTCGGTGCACTGGAATCCAGCGCTGCATCTTTCTTCTCCCTGCAAATATGTTTCTCTCCTTAAATTTTAGGCCTGCTGGCTGCTCTGTAACCTCAGCACTGAGTTGTCAAGAAAGGTCTTGAACTTGCCTTTCATCCAGATTTTTCTGTTGTAAATTTGGGGTGATGCTGTTTCTGGCTCTCTACATCCCTGAGTAGAAACTGGAAGCAACCTCACTCTGAATCTGTTCAACGGACGAATCATCTTCTCCCACTCAGGCATTCCATCACCCTAGACATGGACACTCACTTTTCCTGGATTTCCTCAATGATATCTCTTGAAGCTGGCCTCTGTACATGTAGCTGAAGGGGCTTTACATATCCCTGTTATTCCTTGCCCTCTCATATTAACTTTTAAAATCTCCCTTCTTATTCTACCTCAAAGCATTATTTGCTCTTATATTGTAAGAAAGGTAAACATATAAATTTTAAACCTGAAGTTCCCATAAAGCATGTAAACAATGATCATGCTTAACTAAGCATTTTCCTTTTCATTGGTATATATCTCTAGTCAATTTCTAACATTTAAATTATAACATTTTTAAGTTGGATCCTCATGTGTCTCAAGTAAAGAGTATTAAGATTTCTTAGCTCTTTAAACTTGTTGGTCTCCAAATGTTAATAAAATCAAGATCTCCCAGAAACATTGGTTCTCCAAAGCTGTACCAAATGGCAAGAGATCTTCCTTCTTCTCCAAAGTCACATTCTGTGTGTGCTATTAGAGCCAAATATAAGAATCTAAGGAGTGAGAACATTTCAGTTTCTAAAGTAGCTGTGTAAGCACATGGAGTTACCCGCAGCTTCAATTTTATAAAAAATCAGTGATGGAATATTGCCGTCTACTTAAAGATACAGCCTTCAAAAAAAAAATAGTACCAATGGTATTACAAGATCCATGGTAGATGATAAGAAACTGAATATTGCAGGAAGTGAGAAAGGAAGTGAAGTGAGAAGGGAAGCTATTCTGAGATGAGGACAGAAGTCAGTATGTGAAATTCTGATACTACCATGAGATCCTAGGCCCAGGCAGCTGTGAGTAGGACTGGCAGGACCAGACAGTGAGAAAAACATTTAGACATTTTAGCTTTAAAACTTCCTAAAAGAAATAGCTCTGCTAGGACATGGAATAATAATCTATATAGTAAAAATTGTATTTAAGATAAATTTTTCTGCAGAGGGGGAATGTGGGGGTTTTGAGGGACAAGAATAAAAAAAGCAGCTGTTATTCCTGTCTTGTGCCCTTACATGTAACAGCAGAAGAAACCAATGGAATGCTCACCTTCCTATCGAGGTGAAAAGAGAAAAATGAAAGAACAGGACTTGCTCTACCTGGGGAGTCCTATAGGCTCTACTGTGGTTTGAATGTGTGTGTCCCCCATGATTCTTATGTTGGAACTTAAAACCCAATGTGAATATGTCAACAGGCACATGTTAACATGAATGGGATCTGCAACCTTTCAGAAGGGCCAGAAGGAACTAGCTAAGTCTCTTCCTGCCTTTCCGTCCCTTGTGCCATGTGAGGACACAGCGTTTGCCCCCACCCAAGGAAGTGATATTCTCTGAGAAGCGGAGACCTGGCCCTCACTAGACACTGAACCTGCCAGTGCCCTGTTCTTGGACCTCCCAGCCTCCAAAACTGTGAGAAATAGGTTTCTGTTCTTTATCCATTATCCAGTCTCAGGTATTTTGTCACAGCAGTACAGACTAAGACGGTTCCCAGTGATGTCACCTATGGGAGCAGCAGTTTGACTTTTTGTGGTATAAATCATGTCAAGTCCTGAAACGTATAGCTGTTATCATTACTGACCTTACAAATTTCACCCCACTGTGTAAAACGTCTACATTTGACAATGATAGAGATTAATAACATTTAGTGACCAAGATCCATCACAACTTCCAAATTATATTAACATTCAGGAAGAAAAATGAAGGCAAAGTTAGCTAAATTTAAATGTCAATCTAATTTGATTTCTATATTATTGAACTTCCCTATGCCATGCAATGCAACTAGGTTAACTTTTCAATATGATGCCAGTTTCACTACTGATCCAGCTCTTTTGGAGTGCTCCTCACCTCATATTTGAGAAAAGTAAATACACGTCAAGAAAAGAGCCAAAGATTTTCATTGAATTCAGGTCACAAAGATTTCTGTTTGAAATGACGAAAGGGATTTTCATTTTAATATACTTTATTATTTAAAATGCATTCTAAAATCTACTCTTTTTGTTTAAAGAGATGCCCATGCAGGGAGGAAAATCTATAATTTGTTGGTATTTTCAGAAAAGTTAAGTCTTCAGTAAAAGTAAACTGCAGCTATTACAAACACATTCTAATACCATTTACTTTCAAAATAGTATTTGCTGTTGCCATTATTATTACTGCTATTACTTTGCTATTTAGGCAAATCAAGAAATATGAAAAGCACCAACACAGGGTCATGACTTTATGCTCATGAATCACATACGTGACATCTATGTAGAGAGTGATAGCCCACAGGAGGAGATCCTTGGGGAGGACTCACCACCATCATTCGCTGACTCACCACCACCATTCAGTTCTGTGCGTGTCCCCGTCACTGGCTTGAATGATGATTTGGTCATTGACTTGATGTAGAGCTGCTGACCCAGATTCTTAATTTTGTTGACACTGGCATAGACCTGCTGCAAGGTCATCTTAGGGAAAGGAAAGATAAAATATGTTTCAAAAATTACAAAAATGTCCACTAAAGATACATAAACAAAATACACTTAGCTTCTGTTTCTCTGAAGACATAATGACTAAAGCACAGTAATCGCTTTAATTCAGTTTCCTGCACCATGCCACAGGATACTGGTACCAACAAATTCGAAATAAATCGTTCAAAATATGCTAATTTTTAGAACGCATACAATTAATTCAAATATCACATTCCAAAAGTGATATCTTCTTTTTACAGACATTTTTCCCAAAGCAAAATGGATGAAAATGTCTGTTATCAGATGAGGTCTTCGAGTCAGGAATACATACTACGATGTCACCACGTGCAGAACTGAGGTAGTACAGAAAACACAACGACTGTATAAGGATGTGACATAAGCCCATGTACCTGCTCTGCCTTTGTCTCCTCCACGCAGTGCCCGCTGGCCTCACTGGAGGAGGCGATGCTGACAAGCTGCTCCTGTGACCCGCTGCTCCCCAGGCTCCCATAGCCGCTGGACACACTCACGTGAACTGGCTAGAAGGACAGAGAGGAACAAGTCCAGAATTGCTGGGTGTCTAAATGCAGCCACCTCAGAGCTCATCTAGAATCATCTAAAAATTAAGATGACAATTCCTGAAATCCCCAATTAGGTGTGTGCAGGTTGGTACTTTTAACGCTGACACGAAAGGCACTCCTCTGTCATTTCGGTAATTCTCAAGGGCAAGGTCTTATGTTCTAGTCTAGGTAGGTACTTCCAGGAAAACACATTGTTAAAAAGCCATAGTATAATTAATTTTTTAAAACCTGAAAATAAATTCTAGTTCTCTGTGTCCAGTTTAGAATAGAGAGAACAAACTAAATATATGTTGTACTTTTTCCAAGAATGTGGCAGGTATTTCATGCACCCTAGAGATTTTATGGGAGACATTCTGAAAACCACTGAGGACAGTTACTCTAAGTGACGCCATCAGTTCTATTTCCCACTTATTCACTGAATCTCTTATAGAAAACACCTTTGGTATTTCTTCTCAACACACGCATTTCCCCACTTTTACCTTACAATAGTTAAGAGAAACTGAGACCTACCATCCCTCTCCTCCCATCTTTAAAACTGAAATTATTTAAAAAATCCTGAAGCCAAAACCCAAAGGCTGAGCACACTGGTGCCTCTGCAGTGTAAGAATTCTCTCAGTCACTTGGCTTGCTGTCTTACAATGGGTTCTTACAAAAATATTCTGTGTAACACAGAAAAAGGAACAAAGAATAAAATTTAATTTAAAAATGAAAAGAGAAAGACAAAAATTTCTGGAATGCAGAGGGCAAAGATTTGTCTCCCTTTACAGTTTATTTTTGTAAAGTGACTTTACTGAGCATTAAAACAAAACACAAATCGGGAATTTTGCATTTTTAAAAATCTCACCTTACCTGTAAGAGAAGTTTGTAAATTTGTTCTTGTAATTCTGTTACGTCTTTGTCATTATTGTTCGTCTTTTTAATTTTGGTAGCAAAAACATCCTCATTTAGTGGGCTCCTAGAAAATTCCCAGTGAGAGACTGAGTCAAACAATTTAAATGTGAAGTCGAAAGTGATTTTTAATAGACTATTCCAAGATAGATCTATGCTTTTACAAAACAATTCTTTGACTCCTAAAAGAAAATATGAGGCTAGAATTCTACCCATGGAGGTACAGAAACTAATAAGAGACAAATGAGACATTAACAGTCCCCTTAAGTTTCTCTAAAGTACTCATCTTTCTGTAATGGTTTCAGTGCTATATATGTACAAATCTAAAATTAGTGACAAGTAACCTCCTTAGCTACTACAATATCTTTCGCAAATAACTGGTTTCAAAATTTGACAGTAACTGAGTAACTGATTATAAGAATTTTAAAGGCCCCAAGTTTGCCAAACAACATTTAACGTTTAATGCACCTAACACTTAAGTTATCTAATTAAGACGGTTCTGCAACCCACCCTAGTGGTGAAAATGTTGCTATTACAATACCTTCAGTCTGTCTCACACTCCAATTTTAGAGCATCTATGACCCGAATACAGTGAATGGCACCCATGCCAACAGACAGGATCACAAAGAAGGGAAGGAACTGATGTCTAGTTGGGACCTTCTATGTGACAGGCACTGTACTAGTTTTTTTTTTTGAGACAGAGTCTTGCTCTGTCACCCAGGCTGGAGTGCAGTGGCATAATTTCAGCTCACTGCAATCTTTGCCTCCCAGGTTCAGGCGATCCTCCTGCCTCAGCCTCCCGAGTAGCTGGGATTACAGGCACGTGCCACCATATCCGGCTAATTTTTGTATTTTTAGGAGAGACAGGATTTCGCCATGTTGGCCAGGCTGGTCTGGAACTCCTGACCTCAAGTGATCCATCCGCCTTGGCCTCCCAACACCGCACCCGGCCTGTACTAGTTTTTATAACACACAAGAATACCTAACATTTTGAAAACCCTTATTTTCAAGTGCTTTACAAGTATTTTCTCCTTCACCTGATTAAATTACATTGTCCAGGTGGCCTGGCAGGTAAAGGGGGAAGCAGGTGTTCACGAAGGGACCAGAGTCTGGGCTCCAGAGCCCACACTGTGTGCCACCACACTGTACTGCCTGTGGGTACCTTGGTAAAGCAAGTCCCATTCGTGAGGCACACTGAATCAGCTGCCATCAGCTCATGGAGTCCTCACAACAACCCCGGAAAGTAGGAATTATCCCCAATATGCAAAGTCAGGGGATGAGGTAGTCTGAGGAATTGGCCCAAGTTCACATAACGGAGAAGCAGCACTTAGGATTTGAATCTGCCTATGTCTGACCCCCAAGCCTGGGCTGTCCTTTTTCATTATGCCAGCCTGCCGTTTCTCAACTGATATATGCAGCTCAGTTACCTAAAAACTGAAACAGTTTCCCAAAGGCAGAAATTATCAAGAACATCATAGGATGCTGACAGTGTCATAAAAGCAGTCAGGAATATCGCCACGTGTAGGGACTATTCACTCACCCTGCACATTCTCATCACAGTGGAACAGCTGCACCAATCGCCTTTCTCTCCCTTAGCATCTAGACTGTATCTAGATCAATATCTATCTGCATGCTGTCAAGTACACCATATGTCTGTGGCAAGCAGTAACTGAATATATAACCTTATTTCACAATCTGACACACTATACGTTTTATGTAGCTGTCTCTCCCTATAACCCACTGCCAGGTAAGCACCACGGGGTGAGGTATTTTGCCTATTTTGTTCACTCCTGGATCTTCAGTACCTAGAACAGTGTCTGGTCCATAGCAGGCACCCACTACATATTTGTTAAAGGAACAAATACATGATTGATCTGGGAATAAAAGTACACTTGGTTCCTAATATAAACACATTGTGAGCTTGAAAACCTTTCAGAGGTATTTGGAATTTATTTTTTGAGTGAAATGGAAATAGAACAGATTGCTTTATGAGATTTACATATTCCTAGTTGTGAAAATTTCTGCAAAACTAAATTGTGTATATATACATATTTTAAGAGACAGGGTCTTGCTCTATTGCCCAGCCTAGAGTGCACTGGTGCAATTCTGGCTCACTACTGCCTTGAACACCTGGACTCAAGCAATCCTCTTGCCTCAGCCTCCTAAGTAGCTGGGAGGACTACAGGCACGTACCACTATGCTCAGCTAATTTTTATTTTTACATTTTTTGTAGAGATGGGGTCTTGCTATGTTGCCCAGGCCAGTCTTGAACTCCTGGCCTCAAGTGATCCTCCTGCCTCAGCCTCTCAAATGCTGGGATTACAAGAATGACACATTAAAGTGTATTTTAAATCAGTAATTATGTAATGCAAAACTGATTAATCTGCAGGCAATAAGGAGACAGCCTTCACGAAACAGCAACAAAAATGCCATGAAGTATTATGTTGCTGTGTATGTGAAGTGAAGTAGGAGTAAGAGAGAAAACTTGGCTGCAGTCTCCACTTTCACTCCTCCCCAAGTGATCCCTGGGAAGGTTACTCTAGTTCACACAGTATGGATTTTACCTGTAAAATGAGAGCTGAGGACACCTGACCTGCCTGCATGCAGTGCTGCTGGGAAGGACTGAGAGAGATGCGCAGGGTCCCTTGCTAAACAGTCTGGCAAACCCCTTCCCATTTCAACTGTCACACTTACCAAACTCTAGTTATATATGACAGTGCCATTTTTATTTACTGTCTCTCCCATTACAGTGTGGGTTTCCTGATGGTAAAGAGAACGTTTTGATTACCATCACATTCTCAAGGCCTGGTACACTGTCTACACAGAGCTTTATACTTTATAAATATAATGAATAATTATTATTTTATGAGCAAGATGAATACCTACTAGACCTTAAATCCTTTCCCTCACATAATCTATGTTGTTAAGATGTAAATACTGGTGTAATTTTTAAAAATACTGAAAACATTCTGAATATTCACTATATGTTGGGTAATTTCACATATATTTCATCAAAGAACTGAAAAGAGAGCTTCAGAAATCTAGGCTGTATCTTTAACTCTGACTGGGGCCGGGGAACACAGACCATCAACGAGCCCCAGATGGAAGCCTCATGAAGGCATCTTACTGGCTGTGGTTTCCTACATTCATGCCAAGCAACCATCGGATTTCATGTTCATTTCCCAATAGGTTTCCGTACTTGGGGCGGGGAGGTTTGGAGAAGGGACAAAGTCCTTTCTGAGAAATACAAATGGTTTTACTTGGCAGCTGTATTTCTTAATAATCAAATTTGTTTTCTAGCACAAATCAGTCTCATGAGTTAGGGCGGCCAGGAGCTCATTTCTTCCATTAAGTTCTAGACGTGCTCTGCAGAGAGGCCAAACCCTGGAGTAGAAAGAGGTAAGAGCAACCTTGAGACCTCTTCTCACCATGGCTCTGCACATCATCTCTACTGTAATATTAACAGGTGATTCAAATACGTCTTACTGGTTCTCAGTTTCATGTTCATGTAGACAATGCTGTACAACAAGATACCAAAAAACATAACTTCTCGATCTTAGCATGATATTGGAGTCAAGAAAAATTTCCATGCTTAAAAAAATAGACATCAAAGGGAAACCTCGAGCCAGGTCAAAAGGCCTAGAGTTCAATTAAAAATGGACCAAAGCGTTGGGCATGATGGCTCACACCTGTAAGCCCAGCACTTTGGGAGGCCAAGGCGGGCGGATCATTTGAGGTCAGGAGTTCAAGAGCAGCCTGGCCAACATGGTGAAACCCAGTCTCTATTAAAAATACAAAAAATGAGCCGGGTGTACGCCTGTAATCCTAGCTACTGGAGAGGCTGAGGCAGCAGAATCGTTTGAACCTAGGAGGCGGAAGTTGCAGTGAGCTGCGATCACGCCACTGTACTCCAGCCTGGGTGAGAGAGTGAGACCCTATCTCATTTAAAAAAAAAAAAAAAGGACCGAAGATTCAAGGGCCTAGGGGTACTGTAGCCTGCAAGAAGTAGTGGGCCGGGTTGGTCTCATTCTATTCCACATGATGCTGTTACGTGGACATGCAACAGCAAGCAAACAAGCTGGTGTCAGCTGTGCTGCCAGGAAAAGAAATATTAAAAAATGGACACAGGCCAAGCGCAGTGCCTCACGCCTTCAAAATCCCAGCACTTTGGGAGGCAGGAGGATGCTTGAGCGCAGGAGTTTGCGACCAGCCTGGACAACATGGCAAAACCCCATCTCTACAAAAAATACAAGAATTAGCTGAATGTGTTGACAAGCACCTGTGGGCCCAGCTACTTGGGAGGCTGAAGTGGGAGGATCACCTGAGTCAGGGGAGGTTGAGGCTGCAGTGAGCTGTGCCTGCATCACTGCATTCCAGCCTGGGCAACAGAGGGAGAACTTGTCTCAAAAAAAAAAAAAAAGACACGACTAAGTGGAATTTGATGGCAGAAGGCTGCTATAAGAAGTTTTACATGCTCACTAAAGAGATATTTAAAATAGAGAGAAAAAAAGAAAAAAGAAAAAAACACCTGTAGGTCCTAGTACCTACACATAACCAAAATTCATATTTTATTTCCTTTCAATCCTCTTTTCCTTATTTGATGGTATGTTTATGTTTTAAACATAATTATAACTATAGGTGTAATTTTGTATGCTGATTTTTATATTTAACGTGTCAAATATTTTTCCATGTTATGTGATCTCTGCAAAAATTTTCATTGACCGATATAATAATACATCAAGCAAATATTCCAGATTTCACTTAATGATGGACATTTAAGCTACTTTAAGGCTCATGGTACATATTGTCAAACTATCTTCCCAAAGCACCGAAAAAAAAATCGGTGCTTTATTTAGTTCATGTGTCAACTAAGTCAGAGGGCAGTCAATAAGCTAAGGAATATTATTTGATACAGGAGATGTTTTAGAAAATATGAAAACTGACTGGCTTACGTTCGAACTTTATGCCGACCAATGATGAAAGAAACCTTCCGGCTCCAGGGATTCACAAAGCTGGACCAGCTGGAATCCAGTATGATGTAGTCTCCATTTTGAGTACAAAATCGAATGGGAGAATGTTCAAAGGGAGGATGCCCTGCATACTTCAAGACTATATAAAATAATAAGACAAAAATAGGATTTATGTAACATAGATACTGATTATAAAAGTCCTTTTTAAGCCATTTATTTGTACATGTTTTAGTGGTTTTTTTTTTTTTTTTTTTTTTTTTGAGATTGAGTCTCGCCCTGTTGCCCAGGCTGGAGTGCAGTGGCACGATATTGGCTCACTGCAACCTCCACCTCCCAGGTTCAAGCAGTTCTTGTGCCTCACTCAGTCTCCTGAGTAGCTGAGATTACAGGCGTGCACCACCATGTCTGGCTAATTTTTGTACTTTCAGTAGAGATGGGTTTCCTCATGTTAGCCACGCTGGTCTCCAACTCCTGGCCTCAGGCAATCCGCCCACCTCAGCCTCCCAAAATGCTTAGATTATAGATGTGAGCCACTGCACCTGGCCTGCTTTAGTATGTCTAAATAGAAAACAATTGCTTTAGCAGCTTCAATATAATGCCTATCTGGTTAAAGGCTGCGCTCTAATGAGAGGAAAAGAAAAATTAGAACAAATCAATGAGAGAAGAACATTTCCTCCTATAAAGGAGTAGGTCCTGACCTTTTTGGTGTATGGCAACCATCAGAGAACGATCTTCAGGGTGCAGGTAGCTTAGGATCGATGTTCCGATCAGGTCCTGAGGTAGGTAACCCAGCAAAGGCACTGCTCTGGGATACAGATACACAACACAGGTGGCACGTTATACTCATCAGGTAATTCTTACAATTTACATGTTTTTAAAAACACTTCTGTATTTCATTCTAAATGTGAGACAATTTTATGTAAAGCTGTTTATCTTAGCATTTATAAAAACAACAAAGAACCCAAGTGCACATCCTGGGGGAAACGGCTGTATCATCTAACACGTTGGTTATCTGACACATTGCATCAAAATCATCTAGGGAACTGCTAAAATACAGCTTCACAGGCTCGCTGTAAGCTTACTAAATCAGAATCTCTGGAAGCAAGACCAGGCACCTGTATTTTTAGCAAGTTCCTTAGAGGACTCTGATGCCCTCCATAATTGTGCTTATGTTGCCATTTAAAAAGTCTACGAAAAGCACATTGTAATGTAGAAAGATGCTGATGACGTTAAATGAATAATGCAGGTTGCTAATTCATACAGCATAATTAAGATTACATAAAAACAATGTCACCTAGGCCGGGTGCGGTGGCTCACGCCTGTAAATCCCAGCACTTTGGGAGGCTGAGAGGGGCAGACTGCCTGAGGTCAGGAGATCGAGACCAGTCTGGCCAACATGGTGAAACCCCATCTCTACTGAAAATATAAAAAAATTAGCTGGGTGTGGTGGCGTGCGCCTGTAATCCCAGCTACTTGTGAGGCTGAGGCAGGGGAATTGCTTGAACCAGGGAGGTGGAGGTTGCAGTGAGCCAAGATCGCGCCACTGCACTCTAGCCCGGGCAACAGAGCGAGACTCCATCTCAAATACAAAACAAAACACAACAAAAAAACAATGTCACCCAAAAGGTAGTATCAGATAGACAGACAGCTAGTACACAGAAATAGTTTCAGGATAAAGGTTCATGGGAAACTTACCATGGTAAGACTAAGGATGCCTCAGAAAAAACTGGATTCCATAAATATTTTCCATGTGTAGAAACCCACAAATATTTTCTAATACAAGAGATTTAAGCTATTTTAAAAATTATATTTAGCTGAATTTTCTTACTTTATACAGATTAAGTATTTCACACATTACTATTTGGTTTCAAGGTAAATGCTTTCAAATACACTCATTTTCAGATGTTAAATTTTTTTAATAAAAAATTATCAAAAAATGTTTTTGACATTTTTGCTTTACAGTTACGTGTGGTGTGGTGCATTGGTTCCCAGATTTTTGAATTTCATGAGTAAGTAAAATTTAAAAATAAATACGGGGAAAAATTGTGGGATACTGGTGTAGTGATACTGATATTTACTTTTTCCAAATAAAGATATTAAAAAACAGCAACAAGCAGTAACAACTACCTACTATCACTATCCTTTAAATAACAAAGACTATTTCAACATCCCCCAAAAGTAGGAAGGACAGAAGTTCAGAAGTTCAAAATAAAGAACAATTCTTTATAGAAAATAATCTGTTCTCCCCACCTTCGCCTCCACTTCAGACTAATCAAAATTTCATCATAAACTGTTTTGAGAAGCACTTGACAAGTGGAAATAACACCAGAATAGGTGCTAGAAGACCAGAGTCTTGGACCCAGTTTGAGCGCAGATACTATACATCTGTTCTCAGCAAACTGGCCCCTGGGTTCACTGTCTTCTCTGTAAAATGAAATGATTCTTGGCCTAGCTAAAGCATACTGTTGAGAAATCAAATATAACTTGTAATCACTTTCTAATATGCAAGATATTTATATTAAAAATTTAGACAACATATATTTCCATTTAACAAAGATCAAATAGGCAAATGGACAGATTTCAGTTATATAATGAATAAACATGCAAACATAAACTTCTTCACATTTATATTTATTTTCAGAAACAAACTTATTTTAGGCTTAAAGAAGTGCTTACCTTTCATCTACTTCAAGAAACACACACCCTGGGGTGTGTGTTGTGGTAAAGATTCTTTTATTCACTGGGATTCGAGGAGCTATGAAAAAAAAAAGAAGACCGATTTAAAGGCAAATATCTGATTAATCATCCACTTAACTAACCACTTAACATATTAAAAAGAGAACAAAATCTATATGAAATGGTAGAAATCTCATTTACGGGCCTGGCCTTCAAGCAGCCAAAGCTACAGTTAAATAATAATTTCATCACTAACTACATTTTAATTAGGTAAAAATGTGAAGCCTATTAAAGTCAATTTTAAACACAGGGAGAAAGAATGTGCACGTTAAATAGTTTTCTCTTTTTTTTTTTTTTTTTGGAGGCAGTCTCACTCTGTCCCCCAGGTTGGAGTACAGTGGCACGATCTCGGCTCATTGCAACCTCCGCCTCCCAGGTTCAAGTGATTCTCATGACTCAGCCTCCCAAGTAGCTGGGATTACAGGCACCTGCCACCACACCTGGCTCATGACAAATAATTTAATAGTTAAAACTGGAGTGACTAAAAAGTTTAATCAGATTTAGTAGCTGCATATAACTAAACAAACAAAAATACTACAAATATTATTTAGTACCATATGGATATTCTTAGTGTAATAAAATTAGTATGGTCAGTTCTATTCTAATGCTTGCTTTAATAATGAAGTGTGGCCAGGCTTGGTGGCTCACGCCTGTAATCCCAGCACTTTGGGAGGCCGAGGCAGGCCGATTACTTGAGGTCAGGAATTTGAGAGCAGCCTGGCCAACATGGTAAAACCCTGCCTCTACTAGTAATACAAAAATTAGGAGGGTGTGGTGGTGGGCACCTGTAATCCCAGCTACTCGGGAGGCTGAAGCATGAAAATTGCTTGAACCTGGGAGGCAGAGGTTGCAGTGAACCGAGATCGCGCCACTGCACTCCAGCCTGAGGAGCAGAGCAAGACTCAAGAAAAAAAAAAAAAAATAAGTGATTGATATATTAGGGAACAATCTGAGCAAGTGCTAATATCTCATTTGCTTGTACACTATTTTATTTTCAAGAAACCTTAAGTGAATGCAGAAAACAGCATCCAGTTGAAAGGAACCACTTACAAATAACACAAAAACAAGTGTGATGGCTGATATCTATAATCCCAGCACTTTAGGAGGCCAGGGCAGGAGGATCACTAGAGCCCAGGAGTTCGAGACCAGCCTGGGCAACATAGTGTGACCCTGTCTGTACAAAAATAAATAAGATTAGTTGGGCGTGATGGTGCGTGCCTGTGGTCCTAACTACCCTGGAGGCTGGGGCGGGAGGATCACTTAAGCCCGGGAGTCTGAGGCTGCAATGAACCACGATCATACACTGCACTCCAGCCTGAGTGACAGAGCAAAACCCTGTCTCAAAACAAAGCAAAACAACAACAAAAAAAGAATACACAAAAACATGCATACACACCTCAAACATCTACCTGCTACCTCAGTCCATCCTGTGCTATGACCCATATTTATTGTAGTGTCTGTATATTTCCTAATCATTTAACAGGTATGAAATGATTATCATTTTTGTTCCATTTGTTTTATTTTTAATATGCAACTTTTTGAGTTTTGTGCTCCTAAACCCATTTTTCTCATAAGCCCTGTGGTTTTTATTGTATGACTGTTACATAGGATGGTAATTTGTAGGAAAGCATATGTCATTTTACATCTGAACTGACTTTTCAGTAATACATGGAAACTGCCTATGTATTGATATATGCATGATATATTCATTTAAAAACATAGTTCTGCTCGTAAAAGATAAAATATACGTTTTACTCAGGGAGTTTCAAAACACTTCAAAAACAAAATCACTCTTGCAGCCTCTCTGGGAAACAATTTCAGCACTTATTTCACACAACACAAGCAAAAGGCCACACTGCACAAGCAAAAGGTCACCAGCAGAGGGAGGACTAGAAGACTGTATCTGTCACCAAATCCTGTGCTGAGACCATTTGTTCAACCATGCTGACCATGAAGGCAATGACACACAAGAAGCCAAAAGTCAGTAAACAGACACATCAATGAAAACCAGCTTCAAACGCCTGAAGAGGTTAAGGGTCAAATTGGAGACCCAAGAGCTCTTTTGTTGTTCTATGACTGACGTAAACGGACTTTCCCATGTTCCTATCTGATTGCTGACATCTCTGCATCTTATCTACTGATTTACCTTCATAACCAGAGTGAATCTTTTCAACCACAGTGAGACAGCAAGGTTCCGATTCCGATTCTGGCTGGCCAGGGCGATGTACATAAATCAGATAGGGGATGATCCGGAATGGGGAGTGACGCTTCTCTTGCTTTCTGTCTTCACCTCCACTGAGGAGATTAAAGATATTAGTGCTGGTCCTGACGCACGCTACTGGCCCATGGCAAAACAAGGCTGGGAGAAACGTTTTATTGGTAATTTCCAAGAGAGACATACCCACATCTAAAATGTTTAAACATGTTTGTTTTCAAAAGAAAGAATATGGTAGCTTAAATTTTCTATATTCAACAAGTAAGAGGTTGTGTAAAGAGCTGGCTTAGATTACTGTGAGTGTAAAAACAGAATTAGTGGTTTCATGACTTTTCTCCTAGACTCTATGCACTGAATTCCCAGTTTGACTTTTCCCCTTCTGCTATGAAGAGGGACAAGCATAATCGTCTCATCTCACATATCTACATCAGGTGTCACAAGAGAGAAAACAGGGTCCCCTGCAATCATGCCCTGGGGCCAGTTCTCAGTCGTCCCTTTCTACACTCTCTAAGAACCAATTTCGTCTCCAGCTTCAGTGATGAGGGCCCTTGCATGAGGTCAGGCGCTCCATCCATAAAGGCATTTGGCTGAGAAGGAAAGAAAAAGTTGAGGCTAAAACCAAGCTCAGCAAGCCCTGTCCCTGGCCCAGAGAGTGCGCTCCTTTCCACTCCTCACAAAGAACCTCTCGGCAGGGGCGGCTCTGACTCATCACCTCAAAGATCACAGCTGCCCAGCAGACGCTTCTACTGGGAGATGCCACTTCACCTAGAAGTCAAAAAGCCCAAGACTGAATTCACACTCCCCAACTTTTACCCATCACCTGTTTACTCTCTTGCCAGCACGTAAAGGTGTGATTGCCAATCCTAAGGGGGTCTTTAGTGCTGCCAGAGATTCTCTAGTCTGTTCCTACTTCCCCCTCACTTTTTTTTTTTTTTAAAGACAAGAGTCTTGCTCTATCGCCCAGGCTGGAACGCAACAGCACAATCTCGGCTCACTGCAACCCCCACCTCCTACCCAGGAATACCCAGCCTCCTGAGTAGCTGGGATTACAGGTGTGCGCCACCACGCCCAGGTGATTTTTGTATTTTTAGTAGAGATGGGGTTTCAAATGTTGGTCAGGCTGGTCTCAAACTCCTGACCTCAGGTGATCCGCCTGCCTCGGCCTCCCGAAGTGCTGAGATTACAGGTGTGAGCCACCGCACTCGGCCCCACCTTGCTCTTTCTCTTCTCCCACACACTCCAGAATCTTCTTCCACTCTGCACCCTCAACTGATGACCTTGCTTCCCATTTCACCAAGAAAAGAGAATCATTGGGAAGTGAGCTGTGTCCCGGTGCTGCTGACCCACATCCATGCTCACACCTTCCGGCTTCCCTCCACATTCGCGAATGCATTTTTCAGGTTCATCCAGCCCAAGGGTTTTAAATACCATTTACATGCTGATGACCCAAATATCTACCTCTAGCCTGGAAGTTTTCCTTAACTCCAGACTCTCATAGAGTCTCAACTTAGATATTCAACAGGTATCTCAAACTTAGCTTACCTAAAACTAAGCACCACATTCTTTCCCTCCTCCTCCAGCAAGTTGCTTTTCCTAGAATTTCGTCTGCCTCAATAAATTGTAACTCCAGCCCAAAACTCCTGGTGTTATCCTTGACTCTTATTTCACACTCACTCCAAATATAACCCATTAATACAATTCTGGTAATTAGCTCTTAAAAAATATCCAGAATATCTCTTCTCAGCCTTTTGGCTAAGATCAAATGTAAAAAATATCCAGAATATACAACTATTTCTACCTCCCCCGGCATGCTGGCCTATACCCTGTACCTCTGTAACAGCCTCCAACTCCCCTCCCTGCCTCCCCTCTTCCCCCTCCAGAGTCTCTTCAACCCTGCAGCCAACACCAGCCCTTCATAATGGAAACTGTTTCTGGGCCAGGCACGGTGGCTCACGCCTGTAATCCCAACACTTTGGGAGGTCAAGGAGGTTGGATCACTTGAGGTCAGGAGTTCAAGACCAGCCTGGCCAACATGGAGAAACCCTGTCTCTACAATAAATACAAAAATTAGCTGTGGTGGTGCATGCCTGTAGTCCCAGCTACTCGGGAGGCTGAGGTAGGAGAATCGTTGGAACCCAGGAGGCAGAGGTTGCAGTGAACAGAGATTGTGCCACTGCACTCCAGCTTGGGGGGACACAGTGAGATCCTGTCACAAAAAAAAAAGAAAAAAAAAAAGGAAACTGAAATGAATGCTTCCTACCTCCATTCACTGAAAATTCCTAGAAGCAATGACAACCCTGTGGCAGCAACCATCCCTATCATCCAGATTGGGCCTCCAAACATGGATGCCATTTCCCACCACAAGGAACCAGGATCCTTAGAGAAATGACTGAGGCCACGTCTGGGTTAAGGAATGTCTAAAATGAGTCTGGGGCATCTCGTGCTTAAAACAATGGAAGCTGTCAAAGACCATGGGGCACTCTCACAAGGGTACAGGGGCCAACCCAAAAGGATTCCTACTGGCCTAAGATGGGACCATTTTGAGCCCTAAAACACGAATGAGAACTTTCTCTCTTAGAATGACACTCTGAAATATTGACGGAGGAAATCAGACGAGATCTGAGCTACGCTGCCTGGTAACTTGGGAAGAGGGGGTTAAGGAATTGGTGCTGGCAGAGATGACACCAGACTGGCCAGGGTTCAAATTCTTAAAAAGCTGGGTGATGAGACCGTAGCAGTTTATTACATTATCTTTTCTTCTTTTGTGTTATGTTTGAAAATTCCCAAAGAAAAACATTTTGAAAATAATTAAGGGATAAACTGAAATAAAACACTTCGTGCAGAAGTCACAGCTCCCTGTGCTGTGGCCTGTGCTTCCCTGTCTTCTTCCATCCTCACTCCTTCCACCACTCTGGCCACAGCAGCTCCATGTCACTCCTCCCACAGGCCAGGCATGGCCCACCCCAAGGGCCTCTGTGCCTGCTGCTCCCTCTGCCTGCAACACACTTTCTCAGACACTTGCCACCCCTCAGATACTGGTGTGGCTCACCCCCTGCCCTCCTTCTGGTCGCTGTTTCCAATTAGGCTTCCTAAGAGTTCCTGGATCACCCTGAATACAACAGCAATCTCCCACTTTCCAGAACTCCCGCTCTTTGCTTTGCTGTCTACACACAACTTATCACGAGCCAACACATAGGCATTTGAATATGTGTTTATTATTGGTCTCCTCCTCACAGAATTTAAGGTACATGAGACAAGAACTCTGGATCCCAGCACTGACAAAGTGCCTGGCTCAGAGAAAGCACCCCAAAATATTTATTAACATCGGAAACACACATGGCACTTATTAGGAGGCAGGAACTGTTCTAAGATCTTCATACAACTCACTTGTGAATGACCCATTGGAACAACACAGCTCCTCTCACTGCTGCGCCCTTCCTCAGGCCGTCCCTCCCAAGCATCCAGATCCTATGAGTTCAAGTCTCCCAATTCCATGGAGTATTGAAATATTAGACTATTTCACCATGAGGGTTTTTCTTCTCTCTAAACATCTAGAGCATTTAGTAACTTCAATACTAAAACCGGCAATCACAATGTCCTTTTAAAATACTTGCTCTTTTTATTATGAAAGAACATAATACGTTATTGTCATCTTATATACATAATATGTAACAGAATATATAGATGTATTACATATATTATGTATGTAACATAAAGGGAACACTAATAATATATTGCAGCAAATTTAAAAGATAAAAAAATTCAGTAGTAATTTCCACTAGCAATCAACCACTGTTAAAAGTTTCATCGCCGGGCGCGGTGGCTCAAGCCTGTAATCCCAGCACTTTGGGAGGCCGAGACGGGCGGATCACGAGGTCAGGAGATCGAGACCATCCTGGCTGACACGGTGAAACCCCGTCTCTACTTTAAAAAAATACAAAAAACTAGCCGGGCGAGGTGGCGGGCGCCTGTAGTCCCAGCTACTCGGGAGGCTGAGGCAGGAGAATGGCGTGAACCCGGGAGGCGGAGCTTGCAGTGAGCTGAGATCCGGTCACTGCACTCCAGCCTGGGCGGCAGAGCGAGACTCCGTCTCAAAAAAAAAAAAAAAAAAAAAAGTTTCATCTATTTTCTTCTGGTTCACTGTCTCTAGATCTTTTAAATCCTTCTCACAAATATAAATCTCTTGCTTTCTTTAAAGCTATTAAAAATTTCAAAAATTAATTTTAAATGTGACTGAAAAACAAAAAGCAAACAAAAAAGAGCCCAAAACAACGGTCATTTTAGTGTACTTCACATCTAGTGACTCTTACACGTATGCTCCCAGAGTTAAGATTTTCCTAGACTTTTTTCCTATTGCATTATTATTATTATTATTATTATTTTTTTTTTTTGAGACAGAGTCTCACTCTGTCACCAGGCTGGAGTGCAATGATGCCATCTCAGCTCACTGCAACCTCCACCTCCCAGGTTCAAGTGATTATCCTGCCTCAGCCTCCCAAGTAGCTGGGACTACAGGCGTGCACCACCACGCCTGGCTAATTTTTGTATTTTTAGTAGAGACTCCGTTTCACCATGTTAGCCAGGGATGGTCACGACCTCTTGACCTTGTAATCCGCCCACCTCTGCCTCCCAAAGGGCTAGGATTACAGGTGTGAGCCACCGTGCCCGGTCTCCTATTGCATTATTTATCTAGTTTTCTCATAAGCATGTCTCTTCTCAATCAAAAATGAACTCCTTGTGGCAAGAAACAAGTCTTATTTTTTGTATCTTGTAACAGAAGTGAGCTGAATATATAAGAATCAAACTAACTGCAAAATAATCCACTGTTTCTGGCTTCCACGAGCCACTATACTTACCGGATCCTGCAGAAAAAAGGTTTCACTGGAGCACATTCATACCGTGGAGCTGCTAGAAAGAAAGATGCCTGGTCAGTCACTCCCTCTTAGCCAAGTCTTTCTCAGTGAAACAATGTTGTACCATTATCAAACAACAAACTATTTTTTAAAAAAGAGAGAGAGGTCTCCTTGATTAAAATGGAACCCTCTTCCTTCATTTTGAGATCCAGTCACATCCTAGTATTTCCCAATTCTAGTATTGGGAAATACTAGTATTGGCTTTGGTACTGGAACCGTGAGCCTCAGGTATAACAGTGAGAATCGGTTTTATCTCTTCCCCTTATTACTTTCCATAATTCCCAAACTGCCCATGTTCATTATCTCAAAGGTCAATGTAATGATCCTTAGACATAATTATTCTGGTGGTAATATTCCATTCCATTGTAATAGTCTGGACCTTTCTTTTTTTTGAGATGGAGACTCGCTCTGTTGTCCAGGCTGGAGCGCAGTGGTGCGATCTCGGCTCACTGCAAGCTCCGCCTCCCGGGTTCACGCCATTCTCCTGCCTCAGGCTCCTGAGTAGCTGGGACTACAGGCGCCTGCCACCATGCCCAGCTAATTTTTTGTATTTTTAGTAGAGACGGGGTTTCACCGTGTTAGCCAGGATGGTCTTGATCTCCTGACCTCGTGATCCGCCCGCCTCGGCCTCCCAAAGTGCTGGGATTACAGGCGTGAGCCACTGCGCCCAGCCTAGTCTGGACCGTTCTAAAAAATTGGGAATTCAGACTATTTTCAGCTTTTTAGCTATATGATATATAACTTTTTTTTTCTTTAAGCTCTTTCCTTGGATAAATTTCAAAAAGTTGTGTTCCTAGGTTAAATGATAGAATCGTTTTATGACTTTATTGTGTACAGATAAACCTCCAGAAAACTGTACCAATCTTCAGAGTTTTATTAGTGTTTTCTCACAACCCTCATGCCAATGATTTCCTAGCCATTCTGTTGATTTCTGCATCAATTTTATTGATTTATGAGGTGGTAATTCAGAAATGTCTAAATTTGCTTTAGAGGCAGATGAGGGGGCTGAAATTTCTGCCCAGTGTTTGTTGACTGTATGTTATTTCCTCTGATTAGAGCTTCCTGAATATCTTTTGGGCATCTGTTCACTGAAACAAGAAGTCCCCAGTTATAGGAACCATGGAAAACTGTGAGATGTTCAAAAAATATACACTGAAGGCAGCATAAACAGTGAGAATCCAAAAGAACTAAAATATTGAATAAGCAGCCCAGGTCTTCATACTTCTAAGAAACAATCATAGAAGAATCAGAAAGCATTAATAAAGCACTGAAGACTGGTATAACCTTCTACAGAAAACAGCCTTTACTATGAGGTCAGTTTGCTTATACCACTTATTCATCACACCAGACACCTGAACTCCAACTGCACTCACTAGAAGTCCTGGACCACTGAAAGCCAGACTACATGATCTAAGACAGCAGACATGAGCCCATGATGCATTTCCATTCCTATGCTGTAAATATGTGATGCTTGTTTCTAAAAGCGTGCTCTGAAGTAATGGTCAGATCCTTCAAGAGGTTTGTACAAGACATGTTAAACAAAAACATATTCTAATATGGGACCAGAGGCTGACAACAGCTAAGTGGATTGCTTCCTAAGTCCTCCTGATGTTGTGTGTGCTCAAAGCAAGGAATCGAAGGAGGTAACGCAGGCATAGCCTAGAAAGGGGGTGGCGTTAACCAACTGCTCTCAGTAAGAGTATCAATCCTTGAGATTTATAAGGCAAAAGTACAATATAAAGAGTAAACTAGAATTACATCATGCCTTATGGCATAAGTGAATTCTGAGATCCAAAAGAATTATTTCAGGGCATACTAATATTTTACATAAAAAGTGATATGGTTTGGCTGTATCCCCACCCAAATCTCATCTTGAATTGTAGTTCCCATAATCCCCACATGTCAAGGGAGGGACGTAGTGGGAGGTAACTGAATCATGGGGGTGGATGCCCTCACCCTGTTCTGGTGACAGTGAGTGAGTTCTCATGAGATCTGATGGTTTTATACGGGGCTTTTCTCCCTTTTGCTTGGTACTTCTCCTTGCTGCCACGTGAAGGACATGCCCCCTTCTGCCATGATTGTAAGTTTCCTGAGGACTCCCCAGCCATGCTGAACTGAGTCAATTAAAACTCTTTCCTTTATAAATTATCCAGTCTTGGTATGTCTTTATTAGCAGCATGAGAATGGACTAATACCGTAAACTTGTACTGCAGAGTGGGGTGCTGCCATAGATACCCAAAAATACGGAAGTGACTTTGGAACTGGATAACAGGCTGAAACAGTTTGGAGCGCTCAGAAGACAAGAAAATGTGGGAAAGTCTGGAACTTCCTAGAGACTTGTTGAATGGCTTTGACCAAAATGCTGATAGTGATAAGGACAATGAAATGCAGGCTGAGGTGGTCTCAGATAGAAATGAGGAACTTGTTGGGACTGGAGTAAAGGACACTTTTGCCATGCAGAGACTGGCAACTTTTGCCCCTGTCCTAGAGATCTGTGGAGCTTCAAACTTGAGAGAGATGGTTTAGGGTATCTGATGGAAGAAATTTCTAAATGGTAAAGCATTCAAGAGGAAGCAGAGCATAAGAACTTGGAAAATCTGTAGCCTGAAGCTGTGATGGAAAAGAAAAACCCATTTTCTGGGGAGAAATTCAAGCCTGCTGCAGAAATTTGCATAAGTAACAAGAAGCCAAATGTTAATCACCAAGTCAATGGGGAAAATGTCTTCAGGACATGTCAGAGACTTCACAGCAGCCCTTCCCATCACAGGCTGAGGCCTAGGAGGGAAAAAATGGTTTTCTGGGCCTGGTCCAGGTCCCCACTGCTCTGTGCAACCTTGGGACATTGTGCCCTCCATTCCAGCTGCTTCAGCTCCAGCCGTGGCTAAAAGGGACCAAGGTACAGCTCAGGTTATAGCTTCAGAGAGTGAAAGCCCTATTCCTTGGCAGCTTCCATATGGTGTTGGTACTGCAGGTGTGCAGAAGACAAGAACTGAGGTTTGGAAACCTCTGCCTAAACTTCAGAGATGTATGGAAATGCCTGGATGTCCAGGCAGAAGTCTGCTACAGGGGTGGAGCCCTCATAGAGAACCTCTGCTAAGACAGATGTGTAAGGGAAATTTGGGTTCAGAGTCTTCACAGTCTTCAATGGGAGACTCCCTAGTGGAGCTGTGAGAACAGGGCCACCATCCTTCAGATCCAAGAATGGTAGATCCACCGAAAGCTTGCACTGCGTGTCTAGAAAAGCCACAGACACTCAATGCCAGCCCATGAAACCAGCCATAAGGGAGGCTGTACTCTGCAAAGCCACAGGGGCAGAGCTGCCCAAGGCTGCAGGAGCCCACCTCTTGCACCAGCATGACCTGGATGTGAGACATGGAGTCAAAGGAGATTATTTCGGAGCTTTAATTATCGCTTCAGTAGATTTCAGACTTGCAAGGGGCCTGTAGCCCCTTTGTTTTGGCCAATTTCTCCCATTTGAAATGAGTGTATTTACCCAATGCCTGTGCCTCTATTGTATCTAGGAGGCAACTAACTCGCTTTGGACTTTGCAGGCTCATAGGTGAAAGGGACTTGCCTTGTCACATATGAGACTTTGGACTTGGACTTTTGGGCTAATGCTGAAATGAGCTAAGACTGGAGGACTGTTGGAAAAGCATGATTGTGTTTTGAAATGTGAGGACATGAGATCTGGGAGGGCTCAAGAGCAAAATGATATGGTTTGGCTGTGTCTCACCCAAATCTTATCTTGAACTATAGTTCCATGTGTGCTAGGAGGAACCTGGTGGGATAGATAATTGAATCATGGGGACAGTTTCCCCCATGCTATTCTCATGATCATAAGTTCCCATGAGATCTGATGGTTTTATAAGGGGCTTCCCGCTTCACCCGGCTCCCATTCTTCTCCTTCCTGCCATCATGTGTAGAAAGACAGGTTTGCTTTCCCTTCTGTCATGATTGTAAGTTTCGCGAGGCCTCCCCAATCAAGTGGAACTGTGAGTCAATTAAACTTCTTTCCTTTATTAATTACCCAGTCTCAGGTAGTTCTTTATAGCAGCGTAAGAATGGACTAATACAGAAGGGAAATATCCCAGTAATCAGTAATCAGCAAAAGTGAAAAGGCTGAAAAGACACAGGCAGTGCTGAAGGAAAAATACCTGGGGGAAAAATGGGAAAGACCTGGCAGACAATATTGTGTATGTCCTGTTCACAGCTGTATCTGCATCTGGACTAGTTCTTGACCCACAGTAATTGTTAAACAAATGTTTACAGAATGAACAGCTAACAAAAGCAGAGAAACAAATACAGACAATTAAAGGTTGAAAATGTATATTTAGGAAAGGGGAAGAGAAATAAAATCAGTATTTTTGAAAAATGGGAAAAGAGATGAGGTAGAAGCAAGCAGGGATGACACACGTTTTCTAGAGCTTATGCAAAACTATTTTTAAAAGATGGGGCAATCTATAATTGGAATAAGAAACATGTAAAGCTATCCTTCATTAAATGAAGTAGTGGGTAAAAAATTAGAAATAGTAGAATTTCAGATACGAAGATAAAAAAGTTATGGAGATCTGTTTCACAACAATGTAAACATCCTTCACAGCAATGGAGTGAATGCCTAAAAATGATTAAGATGGTGTATTAGGTCCGTTTGCATGCTGCTGATAAAGACATACCCAAGTCTGGGCAATTTACAAAAGAAAGAGGTTTAATGGACTTACAGTTCCACATGGCTGGGGAGGTCTCACAATCATGGCAGAAGGCAAGGAGGGGCAAGTCACATCTTACATGGATGGTGGCAGGCAAAGAGAGAGAGCTTGTGCAGGGAAATTCCCATTTTTAAAGCAATCAGATCTCATGAGACTTATCCACTATCATGAGAACAGCATGGGAAAGACGCCATCATGATGCAATTATCTCCCACTGGGTTCCTCCCAGGACACATGAGAATTGTGGGAGTTATAATTCAACATGAGATTTGGGTGGGGACACAGCCAAACTATATCATATGGTAAATCATATGTGTTTTCACCACAATGAATTTTTTTTTAATTAGAGAGAAGGGCTTGGAATCAAAGAGAAACCTGATATATATATACACACACACACACACACACACACATTTAAAGCTGTTTAAGAGACACTTCACAAAGAATATAAAATAATAAAGGATGACTGAAAAGAAAGAAATTAAGATCCCACAGGACCAAATGTCACAAAGAAAATTGCAATAGGTATCTTTGAATTAGGAAAAAAAGCATTCCAGAAGGAAAACAAAGCAATAAGACTCATAACTTTCAGGGGCAAGAAAAACTGTAAGACAGTTAATGATCTGAAAAAAAATTTTTTTTTTTCCCAGAAACAGAGTAACAGAGTTTCACTCTTGTCACCCAGGCTGGAGTGCAATGGTGTGATCTTGCCTCATTGCAACCTCTGCCTCCCAGGTTCAAGCGCTTCTCGTGCCTCAACCCTCTGAGTAGCTGGGATTACAGGCACGCACTACCATGCCTGGCTAATTTTTGTACTTTTAGTAGAGACGGTGTTTCACCATGTTGGCCAGGCTGGTCTGGAACTCCTGACTTCAGGTGATCCACCTGCCTCAACCTCTCAAAGTGCTGGGATTACAGGCGTGAGGCACCATGCCCAGCCTAATGATCTGAATTTTATCTCCAAAGTAAAATCTCTCATACAAGAAAATCATGAAAGAGGAAAAATATTTAATTTTAACTTAAAGGAAACAGAGCCTTCAGAGCAACTAAACCACTATACGATATGCTGGTAATGAAATAATACTTATGACATATAATCTGTGAAACAGACCTGACAAAATGGAAAAAAATGCATTGAATCTTTATGTTATCAGAAGGTTTTGAAATGCTGTTTTCATCCCATAACTTTCTATAACAGGAATAAGAAAAACAGATAGTTTGCATGTCCTAAATAATGTGTTAATTTCTGTACTATTCCTGTAAGAATGAAACTGATCTTGATGAGGAAAGACAGACATCTAAACATTGGGCCTGTTACCTCTTTGGGTCCAGTTGTTCCAGAAGGGAAGCTGAGCTCTGGCAGTGTGCGCGTAGAATACCCTCACGTCTTGAGGGGCAAGCAGGTCAACAAAGTGAGAAGACGCCAGGACATCTTTCTTACGATTCAGGATCAAAGCAGCCTGTTCAGAAACGTGCACTAACCTTCCAGACAGAAATGAAAATACTGCCACAAAGGTATCCTATGAAAAACATTTAAAATAAATGCCAATATTGAGGTACTCGCCAGCAATATTCCCTGAAAGGTAAATTTCTTCTAGATCTCTAACATGATCAATATCTTAAAATACACAGGCACAACCTACAAATGCAACAAAACTCCTCTAAGAATTTTCTCCAACATCCTTCTTAAATATTCTCCTAAGACCTGCACTTCACCTACTGAAGGTTCGATTTCTATGCCAAAAAATATACTAGATCATTTTATGCAGACTAAACATACATATGGCACATAACTTTTCCTCTGCAAACTGTGCCTTACACCTGGGTGGACGGTGTTCTCATCATCAACGCAGATTCTATGCTTTAAGACACGCTGAAGATTCACCTACTTTAAGAAGCTGTCTGTGACAAACCTCATTACATAAGCATCACTGCTCTAATTTCTTCCATTACACATAAATGAAACTTACTTATAATCCGCAGTTTGTTTGCTAGCATTGGCATGCTTTCCTCTCTAACTTTATTTTAAATATCTTAAAAGACAAATATTTTCTTAAGCTATTTAAAAAAAATCTCCATAGCACCTATTACAGTACTATGTACACACCAGTCCATAAAATAAGCACTGTTATAATAGTAGGGATAGCTCATGTTCCACTATTACAAAATCTTTAAGTTACAATTATGTTGAGGTCTGTACAAAAAAGTAAGTAATCTCCACCGTATCAACCAAACATGAGGCTCAATTACTCTGTCAAACAAGAAGAGAGATTAAAAAAAGATATACTAAAGGTCTCTTCCAAAATTTTATGAAAAATGACAGCATCTCAACTCACCTGTTCTATAACATCCAGTTGTTACAACTTGAAGTAGTAGATATTGGAACTAAGAATGATATAAATAGAAATTAACAATTCGGAGATTAGAATAACATGCAGGAAATTACTCTGCAGTGTAATTTTTGCTTTCTCTTAATTCAAGAGAGCTCGGGAATGCTAAGGAGCTAGAAGCACCTCATAACCAAAGTCACTGAACTGCACAGCACACAGAATGGGCTGCTTTTGCTTTTGGATGTTTTCTCTGGCAAGGGTGAAGCTACACCATGCCTCTTTAGCAGTTCCTCCTTTGCTTCTCTCAAATTGTGGTTGCTGAAACGTTGTTAATTCTTCTTAAAAACCTACATCTAGAGCAGGTCCTTAGGAAAAGTCACCCAGGTTGATACGGCAAAATGCATGAATTCTTACTGTGTTTTTGGAAGTGTGTTCTGAAGCAATAGTGGCCAGCTCCTCAAGACTGTACATGGTCACATCTGCCTGAGGTGCTCCATTTTGACTGAGAATCTGGAAAAACTCACCGTTTGCTAAGAAACACAGGGAGATAAACAGGTAGTCCAGTGACAACAGTATCTTTAGGAAACCATTTTCATCACTATCAAGCTGGATTATTTTTTTCGGATGAGAACACCTCGGGGCATTTTTCTCAAAAACAGATCATTTTCTGCTTTTACCTAAACTACTGATAATTGTGCAAACTTAAGAGTTGATTTTATGAATTCTGCATGTTCTGGATCACAGGGAGCAAGATATATTTAAGGTACTAACAAAAAATTTCAGATGCATACACAATTTTTTTGGGAGAGGAGCAGAAACTACTCCATCATTCAGGGACATATCATATATGATGCACTGAGGTTTGTGCTAAAGAGAATATGGCTTTAATGAAATCCCTTGAGATGTCAGAGAGAAAAAGAAAAGTGTTTACAACGGTTCATTTTCAGTTTAACAAATTCCTAATATATCATTACCACATTTTAAAAGTATGTGTATGGCATGTAAAGGTAACTATTTAGTGGAATGCATTTTTTTCCCCATAACTTCCATAGAAGACAATGTTTTTTTAAAAGGTTAGCCTTCAAAATGTGCTTATGCTAAACTCTACTCTCTTGCAACAAATGAGCAAAACATTGCATAGTTACTATACACTATTACACAGACAAAAGTTTTTCTGGTCTTTCACATGTGAAAAATTAAGACACGAATGGAATTGGCATAGATTTGCTCATCTTCCATAAAGCACCAGAAAAAGCTCAAAGTATCTGTCTGACCAAGACCCCACTGATCACCTCTCTGGCTGCTTGTGTGAGTCCTGGTGCATGTGTAGGATCGAATTTCTCTCTGGCTTGTTTACCTTGCACGCTGTGGACACAGCGGAGAGCATAGTTGAGGGCATCTAGAGTGCTTGGTTTATTGCGTCTCTCCGAGGGGAAGTATTTTTTCATTTCTTGGACAACCATGATAAGTTCTTCAGAAACTCTGTTTCGATCTTGCTGTTCACTGGAAGATAAAAAAAAATTACAACTTCACACCTATGAAGATAACAGCATCTTGCGGTTATAGGGAACACAAACTGCAAACCAGATAGGTTTCTAAGTAATCTACTGGCATCAGATCATTCACTCCACAGGCTGGTGACCCCGCTTCCTCCAGGTGGGGAACTTCAGGCAAAGCAACTGGTGAATGACAAACATTCTCCACTTACTTTCCCTTAATCCACCTGAGTCCCAACTCAGCTAACTTTTGTAACCACTTTTCTCTCCAGATACTCTTCGGTAATTTTCTTCAGTATCCCAGATCACTTCATTCTACGTTGCCTGAGTCTCCCCCTACACTTTCCCCTGGACTTGGAAACAAAACAATAAAAAGATTTAGGTCCCCCTTTCCTTGCTCCGGAAGGACAACGAACGCATGGGGCCCTGGGCCTGAAGCCAGCGCGTCACCTGTGGCTGCTCTCCGCCAATTTCCTTTGCAGATGGAACTCGGGGCTCCACCGCTCCCCCGATTCTTCGCCCAGGGCCTCGTCCTCAGTCCCCCGTCCCCCGGGGCCAGGAGGTTCCCCGCGGGGCGTCTCGAGGTCTCCGCGGGGCTCCATGTAGGGCTGGGACAACCCGCTGCTTTCTTCTCGCTCACTTTGCAGTCGGCAACAGACACCGGTTTCTCACTCTGGTCCGCGCCATGGCGTAAGAGGCGGCCACCACGAGCCAGGGGGTCACGCTCATCTCCGAGGGGCTTCTCCCTCCAGCATTTCCAAAACCCGGAGCTCGTTCGACTTTCAGAAGTCCGGCCTGTAGGGAGGAGACAAGGGTGATAAGGGACAAGTGGAACGGACAGTCCGACGCCAGCGGCCCAGCTGGTTGGGGCGCCCCGACCGCGCGGTCCTCACCCCTGCCCCAACTTTCCCGCACGCCGAGGGCTGGGGCCTGTGGAGGCGGGCG